GGAATGATCCCGTTCCTTTGGCAATTTACCATCGTGAGAGGCTTATGTTTAGGGAGACTTTGTACAAAAAGCAATTGCTTGGGTACCTCTGCCCCATTCGTGTTTCTACCGTGAAGCAGTTGTGTTTGCATGGTTGTGTTTCGGTTTGAAGGATGGGATATGGCGTGAATTTACAGGGTACAGAGGAATAACACCTGAGTCCACAGGAATGGCAACGCATGGGGGGTATCATGGGCGCAACAGTATACTCTGTTATATCCATGGTACTGCTCATGTCTATAGGCGACAGTTACTACTTTCCATCAGGTGGGCCGTCAGCTTGTTTGCCATTCTAAGTTGTATAAAAAAAAAACAGTGGACAGTTAACACCTGATATGATGACGATGATGATTTTAGATATAATTTATTTAAATTAATAGACAAACAATTATCACTACTATTAGAAAGACCTTTATTATTAGACCTTTCTTTGCATAATGGTGGAAATTTCCAACATAACATTGAATGCCCAAAATGATTTAAAAGAACAAATTCACTTTAAGTTGATCGTGTCTGGATACTTTTTTAATGTCCATTGCAGAAAAAATAAACTTAGCTGTAAATTTTTTTTTGGACATTTTTCCTTTATATTTGAATATTAATTATATGACCTTGATTTATTTCGTCAATGAAAACAGTCATGCAAAAAAGGGTTAATTTCTGTTTGCATGTATATGGTAACACGAGTTCTGCTTCCTACAGGACACGCTCAGCCTAGTGTAGGAATCAATGATAAATTCTGTGCTAATACAAACATACTTTGTTAAATAAATATATCTTTATCTTTAACTATTTAGAAATTAAATATTTTCGTAGATATTTCATAGACACATTAGATAAAATATGTCTAGGAAATATCTCGATATCCGTCGGTGTATTTCAGTGGAGATGTTACGTCTTTCAATTCAAATGTTTCTTTTTTTTGTATGAGTATGTTACACAACTATAGAGTTTATTTTCCTTCTAATTTTTCCATGTTTTAAGCAAAAGAATCAAAACAACCGACATAGCTCGAAGGATAACCAAGTTGAAGTGGCAATGGGCTGGTCACATAGCTCGAAGAACCGACAACCGATGGGGAGGAAAGGTTCTAGAGTGGCGAGCACGTACGGGTAAACGCAGTGGAAGACGACCGCCCACTAGATGGAGTGACGACCTTAAATGCATTGCAAGCAGTCAGTGGATGCAGGTGGCTCAGGACCGTTCTTTATGGCAGTCTATGGGGAGGCTTATGTCCAGCAGTGGACGGATAATGGCTGAAACGATGATGATGATATTTTAAATCTATCATTGCAAAAAAAAATGGTTTCTGATTGGTGGAACTGAATCTCGATCGGTCAATACAGTCAATGCCCCAATACTTGGTTATGTCATAAATATAAAAATATAAATTAAACATAAAGTAAAAATATTTGAACATCTGTACATTCATACTTATTAATAAACACTCGTTCATACTCAGACGGCTGAGTAAACTCAGCCAAATGAAATGTGATAACGTGAATATAAGAAACATAATTATTATACATTACTTAATACTCCTCTCCATCCAAATGTTGCCTGGAAGAGATTGCTTTTAGCGATAAGGTCGCCCATTGTTTTCTCATTGTGATTATTTCTTGTAATTGTTTATATTTAGAATAAGTTTACTATTGTAATCTTTTGGAGGTAACAATAAAGAGTATCTAGCTATCTATCTACATTACCAGAGGGAGACTTTGTACAAAAGTCGATTGCTTGGGTACCTCTGTCCCATTCGTGTTTCTACCGTGAAGCAGCTGTGTTTGCATGGCTGTGTTTCGGTTCGAAGGGTGGGATATAGCGTAAATTTACTGGGTACAGAGGAATAATATCTAAGTCCTCAGGAATGGCAACGCATGGGGAGAATCATGGGCGAAACAATATACTCTGTTATGTCCATGGTACTGCTCATGTCTATAGGCGACGGTTACCACTTTCCATCAGGTGGGCCGTCAGGTTGTTTGCCATTCTAAGTTGTTTAAAAAAAATATATAACACATACAATGGGGAACTTATTAATAAGGATAAAATATCAAATTCGTCATAATTTGTGTATGTAAAAATTATTCGCCATTCGTTAATCTCGCTAAAACTTAAAAACTGTTTGACCGACTTAATTTCTTTTAAAAAAGTCGCGAAAGTTAGTTAAAACCCTAAAGTTCAGCTAAAGAATTGAAATACATGTATTAAAATAAGTGATATTGTATGGGAATCGCTATTTCGAAATACATTCAATAGATGGCGTTGGTAACTAGTTTTAGATTCTTCCGTAGCTTATACCAAACAATGAATTTGGGGAACAAATCGACTTGCAAATCTAGTTAGCCACCCTCCGGAAGCTCTAGTTTGTGTTTTTTATAATGAATTATTGGATTTTATTATTTCATTAACCCTTTCGTGTGTTTGTTCAGGGCCTAATAGACCCTGCCTGATGGAACTCAAGTGTTTGGACGGCGCGGCTGCATGGAATTCAATTAATGAGTTACCCCTTATACGGGAGGAGACGGGAAAAGATGATGTTATGATGTTTTTAGGCTCTTATGGGTGTATGAATCCGTTTTGCACCTACATAGAACTAAATATTTCTACGATTTGCTTGAGTATCCGGTTGTAACAATTTAACATGGTTTCCAAAAAATAAATCGATCTAAATTGTCTAACTAGTGCCGTTAGACCAATACGGGAGTAAAGATCTTTTTCAACCGACTTCAAAAAAAGAAGGTTTTCAATTAGATTGTATGTTTTTTTATAATGTTAGAAAAAAGAAGAAGAAGAAGAAAGAGAGAAAACATTTTTTTATATTATTACCTCATAACTCCATCAGGTATAAACTAATTGGAAAAATTCTTTTTTACCTGAAAGGATATTATACTTTATTTTATCAAAATCGGTTCGGAAGTTTAGTTTTTAAACGGTTTTTTTTTCTCGAGGAACAATCTTTTAAATTAAAAAAATAATCATGGAAATCAGTACATAAAAAGCCACTGAAACATTAATTAACATAATAATTATTAATAATACACACATATATATATCTGTCACGCCTGTCTCCCATTAGGGTAGGCAGAAACAATGGAACGCCAAATGCTTCGATTCAAAGAAACCTCTTTCGCTTCATCCACATTCATCAATCTTTTCATACACGCTCGCCGGTTACGGGTACTTTTAATTTGGCCCTTCTTCAGCACGCAGCATTATTAATAATATAAATTATATATATATAAACAATTCCAATAATTACTATATATTCTATTTGGGTACTATATCCTGGTTATTCACGCAACGGAAGTCACGGTTGAAAATTAACAAATTTTCCCATTCGTGTTTCAACCGTAAAGCAGTTGTGTTTGCATGGCTGTGTTTCAGTTTGAAGGGTGGGATATGGCGTGAATTTACTGGGTACAGAGGAATAACACCTGAATCCTCAGGAATGGCAACGCATGGGGTGTTATCATGGGCGAAACAGTATACTCTGTTATGTCCACGGTACTGCTCATGTCTATAGGCGACGGTTACCACTTTCCATCAGGTGGACCGTCAGCTTGTTTGCCATTCTAAGTTGTATAAAAAAAAAGTTATTATTAAAAATTTTGAACGGTTTACATTTCGATTTGTATTTATTCGAATAATTTCATTATATAAATAACTTCGTGCGCATGTGTGCGGAATATGCGATATCGTGCGACAACATACTCGCTTACGGAACGTATAAAATTGCTATCAAGGTGAAACGCAAATCTGCAATAAGTGTTTGTGAATAGCTAATTGGAATATGTAAGTAATGACCGTTATTGCGTTCCTTCTTAGAAACATTGTTTTTTACTCAACTACCAATGAAAGGATGCACGTTTTGTATGTCCGGATGTATGTGCAATATGTAAAGTAAACCTTAGCGGTTTTTTTTTTAATGGGTGATAATGGTATGGTAACCCCGTCTGCGCTATTGGTATACACTGGCGGGGCACCAGTGATAGGTGACTGATGAGGATGAAAGCAGGTCAGTTAGCCCATCCTGAGGAATTCAACCAGAATTAGTCACAATGGGATTCCAGGGGGAACCACGTGGAGGTCGACCTGACAGGGTATATTGCTAGTAATGGGGCTATTTGACCCTATTACTAACAATCCCTTTCCCCCCAACCGTAGCGGTTTGGCCCCGGCATAGTATAGGCCACCCCTTCCTTTCCTGTAGTTTTTTTTTAATGGATGATAATGGAATGGTAACCTCGCCCGCGCTATCGGTATACACTGGCGGGGCACCAGTGAGGGATGATAAATGTAAGTAGGCCTGTTAGCCCATCGTGACGAATTCAACAAGTATTAGTCACAATGGTTTCCAGGGAAAACCGCGTGGAGGTCGACCTGACAGGGCTTGCTAGTAATGGGGCCATCAATCCTCATTACTACCAATCTCTTTCTTTTAAGAGAACTTAATTGTCGAGGATGGACAGCAACGTCCCTAAAACATCATGAATGCCTGTGTTTGCGAATCCGCCTGCCAAGAGTGGCAACTACTGGCAAAACTCCCCTTACGGGGAAGGGTTACGTAGAAATAGACGGTCAACGATTGAAAAGAAAAATGAAATGATGTAAACTAAACGGGTTGATCAATTTTAATACTTGTTAGAATGTAAATAGCGTTCATATTAACTCTTTACACATGGTTTAAAACAAATTATACCTATCTATCTATCTATCCATTTAAGAGCTGCGCTCTTGTCGGTGGAGCTCTTGCCACTCACTACGATTTTCAGCGAGTCTCTTCACCTCTTGATACGACACGACACCAACTCCTTCCTTGATCTGCCTGATGTAACTATGTCTCGGTCTCCCTCTCCCCCTTCTTCCTTCTATCTTACCTTCTATTATAATGTTCATAAGTTCGTCAAATTATACCTATGTGTGTATAAAAATAAAGTTTCGAATCAATATACACTTACCCTGTATAGCCCCAGCCCAGCAAAGCCAGAAAAGGGCCCACTTGGCCGTACGGAACCTCTGCAGCCACGAGGGTCGGAGCTTGCCCCATCCACACCGCAGCATGTCCTCATCCTGGTGCACCACACCGGCGGATGCCCCCTCCGGTTCTGCTTCAGGCTGCAAAGAATTTTAAAAATCAAAATAGTTCTTATGTCTCTTTGAACAGTATTTAACAAAAAGCAACGTCTGAAGGGTACTATAGACATGATATATTTTTTTTTTATTTTTAACGGAATTATAACCCCGCCTGCACTAACGATATACGCTGGCGGGGCATCACTGAGGGATGATAGGTGAGTATGAATAGACAGGTTTTTTTTAATAAATGGTAATTTTTTTTAATGGGTGAAAATGGTATGGTAACCCTGCCTGCGCTAACGGGATACGCTGGCTGAGCACCAGTGAAGGGTGATAGATGAGAATAAAAACAGGCCAGTTAGCCCATCATGATGAGTTCATCAGGAATTAACCATGATAGTTCCCAGGGGGAATTGCGAGGAGGTCGACCTGGTTGGGTATATTGCTAGCAATGGGATTCTCAGTCTCCATTACTGACTAATAATGGATAATAGATAGATAATGAAAAAGCAGGTCAATTAGCCAATCGTGATAAATAGATCTGAAATTCAGCACGATGGTTTCCAGGGGGAACCGCGTGGAAGTCGACCTGACAGGCTATAATGCTAGCAATGGGACTGGTAGCTCGCATTACTAGCAATCCCTCCCGCCCTGAAAAGGCAGGTTAATTAACCCACCGTGATGAATACACCTAGAATACAGCACGATGATTTCCAGGGGGGGGCGCACATGAAGGCATAAGGGGTTACCATTTAAAATTAAGTACATAATGATTTAAGACCAATTCCAATAGCATGCAGACGCCATAAACAGCCATAAATATTATAAGTGTACCCACAATACGTAAATTGTTCTATCAACGGAAGGAGACCAACAAATTTGACAGTTTCTGCTTAAATAAAGATTTACTGCGATATAGAGCAGCGGCGGCGGTAGTGACCGCTACGGAGGCAACTCTGTGGGTGTTTCCGATGACGGTAATTATGGTTTGAATCATACATTGTAAGAATAGTGACTCAAACGAATTGTTCTTTATATAGGATACGCTGCAGCATGTATTTTGCGTGTCAATATCACGCCTTGATATTGTGGCGTGACGTGTGACCCCAGCATAGAATAGGCTATTCCTCCTTTCCCCGTGGGTGTCATAGGATTTTTTATACAACTTAGAATGGCAAACAAGCTGACGGCCCACCTTATAGAAAGTGGTAACTGTCGCCTATAGACATGAGCTGTACCGTGAACATAACAGAGTATAATGTTTCGCCCATGATACCTCCCTACGTTGCCATTTCTGAGGACTCACTTGTTGTTCCTCTGTACCCTGTAAATTCACTGCCATATCCCACCCTTCAAACTGAAACACAGCCATGCTGTTTGCATGTTACTGTTTTACGGTAGAAACACGAATGAGACAGAGGTGCTCAAGCAAACGACTTTTGTACAAAGTCTCCCTGAGAAGGCAACTAAGAGAGCTTAATAGTCGAGGGTTGGGCAGCAGCGTCCCTCGAGATGTTTATTCTCTAAATTCCAGTATATATAGATATTGTAACTAAAATATATATATATTTTTTTTTATGGGAGATAATGGAACGGTAAGCCCACCCGCGCTATCGGTATACACCGGCGGGGCACCAGTGAAAGATAGGTGAGGATAAAGCAGGCCAGTTAGCCCATCGTGACGAATTCAACAAGAATTGTTCACGATGGTTTTCAGGGGGAACCACATGGAGGTCGACCTGACTGGGCATATTGCTAGCAATGGGGCTGTCACCCCTTGCTAATAACCCCTTTCCCCTCAAATATATAGATATGTCGTGTGTTTACAACGTGCGCACGTCGTGAATGCGTTTACGCTAGCCGTTAACCTTACACACAATAGTTCTATTGAGTTGACAATACGTCGACAACAGCCGATATCCTGGCCATTGTCACATCATCAAGTACTACTGGCGTCACCAAATAAATTCAAAAGCATGGCTACTGTGACTCCTATTTTTTTTATTAAGTTCGAACTATATTTTCTATCGCTGCTTCAATGTGACATCCTTCATATCTGTCTGTTATTAACTATATTTCATCTAATCAGTCATTTATTCTTCACTGCTGAACACAGGTCTTTTCTACAAGGCGAAGGGGGGAGGTGTTGGTAGTTACCGATAGGCTTTGATGTTTTAAAAGGGACGCTGCTGCCAATCTCTAGACTATTAAGTTCCCTTAGTCTCATACGACACCCACGGGAAAGGAAGAGATAATTCTTTCTACGCCGGGATCACACGGCAGGCATTCTATATTTACTAACTTTTTCTGTGATATATAATTTTTACAAATGTATATATATATACATTTGTAAATATATATATATATATATATATATATATATATATATATATATATATATATATATATATATATATATATATATATATATATATATATATATATATATATATATATATACATACATATCTGTCACGCCTGTCTCCCATTAGGGTAGGCAGAAACAATGGAACGCCAAATGCTTCGATTCAAACAAACCTCTTTCGCTTCTTCCACATTCATCAATCTTTTCATACACGCTCGCCGGTTACGGGTACTTTTATATATATATATATATATATATATATATATATATATATATATATATATATAGATAATTTATTTACATTACTTACAGCACACAAATTACAATAAAAAAAAAACATACACATAATACACAGCAAAAGAGACAAAAGAATAAAAATAAAAAAGCACAAATAAAAAAAAAAAATACAAAAACAAAATATATAAACTAACAATCTCCTTTCTTACATATTTGAAATATTATGTAAAATCTGTGTATATTCCATGTGTACCTACATTCCTGTACTTATTGCCTAGTTTATCGTACCACTTTCTTTCCCAGTTTTTATTCGTAAAAGTTGAAAGTTTTGATGTACTGTCATAGTGAAAAAAAAATTTATACTATTTTGACAATTGGATACTCTGTGTTATCATAGAAGTTCAAATATTTAAATTGATTGACAGAACACCGCCTAAATGAATTCTATATATAATTCAACCTGTATTATAAGTTTCTTACGATACACATAGCTACCTATAGTTCTAAGGTAATCAGTCGAGACCAAAAGCCGCCAGAATAATTTACGAATCGATCAAATTGCCCACCAAAACATAAGTGTAGACGAAATATAAGGCGGGGGCTATGACCCGGTCGGTACGGACATAAGGTTGCTAAGAGCTTGTTTTTTTTTTTGATGGGTGAAAATGGTATGGTAACCCCGCCTGCGCTAACGGGATACGCTAGAGCGGCACCAGTGAAGGGTGAGAGATGAGAATGAAAACAGGCCAGTTAGCCCATCATGATGAATTCATCAGGAATTAACCATGATAGTTTCCAGGGGGAACCGCGAGGAGGTCGACCTGGTTGGGTATATTGCTAGCAATGGGATTCTCAGTCTTCATTACTAACAATGCCTTTCCCCCCAAGTGCTTGTATTACCAATCATAAATCATTTAATGGATACATAATAGTTACAAATCAGCATTATTGGGGGGAAAGGGATTATTAGTAGTAAGGTCTAACAGCCCAATTGCTGGCCATATATCCCACCAGGTCGACCTCCACGCCGTTTCCCCTGGAAACCATCGCGGTTTATTCTTGTTGGATTCGTCATAATAGGCTAACTGACCTGCATTCATCTCTCACTGGTGCACTGCCAGCGTATACCAATAACGCGGGTGGGGTTACCATTCCATTATCACCCATTTAAAAAAATAGGTATTAATTGAAAAAACAGCGGCAAAAATAATCCCAGAGGGAGACTTTGTACAAAAGTCGATTGCTTGGGTGCCTATGTCCCATTTGTGTTTCTACCGTGAAGCAGTTGTATTTGCATGGCTGTGTTTCGGTTTGAAGGGTGGGCGTGATATGGCGTGAATTTACTGGGTACAGAAGAATAACACCCGAGTCCTCAGGAATGGCAACGCCTGGGGGGTCATGGGCGAAACAGTATACTCTGTTATGTCCATGGTACTGCTCGTGTCTATAGGCGACGGTTACCACTTTCCATCAGGTGGGCCGTCAGCTTGTTTGCCATTCTAAGTTGTATAAAAAAAAATGCAATTGAATCGAAAACTTCTTTCTTTTTGAAGTTGGTTGAACAGATATTATACCGCTACACTACCAAAGTTCAAGTTACAATCCTACTAATGACGAACATAACCCAAAAATTATGGATAATCATGTACTTCCGTCCTTACAAACATAATTACAGACTGCACACCAGTTCGTAAATTATACAAACAACTAGAGAAAATATTTCAGATTCACAATTTGTAGGGTAGGGGGAAAGGGATTGTTAGTAATGGAGACTAAGAATTCCATTGCACCCATACACCCAACCAGGTCGACCTCCTCGCGGTTCTCCCTGAAAACTATCATGGTTAATTCCTGATTAATTCATCATGATGGGTTAACTGGCCTGTTTTCATTCTCATCTATCACCCTTCACTGGTGTTCCGCCAGCGTATCCCATTAGCGCAGGCGGAGTTATCGTTGCCATACCATTTTAACCCATCAAAAAAAAAATTTTTGTATGACGCATGATAACTGAAATTATTTACTTCTATATCACACCGTGATTTTTGTGATCCTTCACAGAATTTTATTTTTGTTTTTTATCAACTATATAAATATAATGATTTTTTTATAAAATATGAACGTCTAATCTAGAAATATTCAATTTTCTTGTACGTACAATATAATTATTATAAAAATTAACTTATCTGGCACAAGATTATTAACAGAATATATCTTTTTATATTTTTTTTTTCATAACAACTCTAAATAAAGTAATTCATTGGAGCAAATAAATGGAATTCTTCATTTCTTTTCTTCTTAACTCAGAAGACAGTAAAATAATTTTAAATTTTCCAACCATTTCTATTTATAACAGTTTTAAATGAAGTAATTTATTGGAGCAAATAAATGGAATTCTTCATTTCTTTTCTTCTTAACTCAGAAGAGAGTAAAATAATTTTAAATTTTCCAACCATTTCTATTTATAACAGTTTTAAATGAAGTAATTTATTGGAGCAAATAAATGGAATTCTTCATTTCTTTTCTTCTTAACTCAGAAGAGAGTAAAATAATTTTAAATTTTCCAACCATTTTTATTTATAACAGTTTTAAATGAAGTAATTTATTGAAACAAATAAATGGAATTCTTCATTTCTTTTCTTCTTTACTCAGAAGAGAGTAAAATAGTTTTAGATTTTCTGATTATTTCTATTCATAATAGCTCTAAATAAAGTAAATTATTGGAGCAAATAAATAAAATTCTTCATATCTTTTCTCCTCTTTAGTCAGAAAAAAAGTAAAATAATTAAAAAAAATGCGACAGTTCATATTTGGTCAAAAATAATATCAATCATACCATTTTTAGGCATCTGCCGTGCTCCAATTTATTTAAAAAAAGAATCGAAACTGATTTTTCGAAATGGCGCGCAATCGTCAAAAGTTACGATCGGTTGGCGACGTTGTCTCGCAGTAGGTAGCGAGAAGAGCCCACGCGACAAACTGAGGGCTCCCTCGTCCTTACACGGTATATAAACTGGAGAGAGCATAGTACACGTTTGAAATTCAGATAAATTTATAAAATGAAAACAGCAAAATAAATATTACAATAGATAGACACTATCTTAATGAAATACCAACAAATGATTAGGTATTGAGGACATTTGTATAAATACATTATATCCTTTAATTATAATTTAATTCCACATAATTTAATCTAACAATAACAATAACCATAAACACTATCTGTACCTATTTTAAATAAGAATAAATAGTTAAACACTCATAAAACTACATAAACATTTTTATGTCATTACACACACACACACATTAAAACACCCTCAACTCTCTTAGAACTTGTAATTCAAACTTGAAAAACACCTATTTCCAAAATAGAGTAAATTATATCAGTGTGGTCGCCAATTTATTCTGTACATGAGGACAGAATTGAGTCGATCCAAAAAAATTTTATACGTCATATCACAAAAAAATATGCCAACAAACGTGTATTGACATGCTATGAGAATAGACTCAAACATTTTAACATGAAGAGTTTGGTTGCGCGTCGTAAAATTATTGATCTAACATATTTATATAAAATTGTAAATAATGAATTGGAGGGTAATTTATTGGAGTACATTAACCTGAGAGCCACTGAACACTCTTCTCGTACAACTAAACTCTTTTCTATACCGTTCGCAAACAATAATGTGTCATATAATAATCCAATATACAGAATGTGCAAATTGTACAACGACATTGATTGTAAATCGGATATTGACATATTCTATCAGAAATTTTCATTGTATCGAAGCACTTTACATACATTGATAACTTAATAGTTTTTATGCATAGTTTGGTAGTTTTGTTTTTGATTCTTGTTTTGTATCTAGTTTTTATCATTAATTCTTTTTGTAGTAAAAATTAACCTATTTTGTTTCATCTCTGTGAATGTTGAGTACAACTATAATTGGATTGCAAACTTATAATGCTATTGTTGTATTCTATTGTTAAAAGTTTTGTTTGTAATCTGTTGTTGTATCACAAAAATAAAAATAAAAAATAAATAAATATATAGATTAGTTGTTGGGAGGAAAAGATTAAGGTTCCATAAATACTTGTATATTCTATTCTAAAAAAAAAACTATATTTGTGTATAATTAACATAATACAATACAGAGCTCAAGTGAATAGTATTTGTTCATGTCACAAAAAATATCGAGAATCGACGCCATGAAAATTAAATAGATATTATATACCTTTGTGTATATATAATTAATACACATATGTTTGAGAAGTGACTTCTTCAACATACCTTTCAATGTAAATAACAACCCATCGTATATAATTATTCTAAATATGAATTTAAATATAAAATGCTGTACTAAAGTAAAATCGTTAAATATCAGTCAATCAGGCTGCTAATTTTCCAAAAAAATATGTAAGCGTAAGCCACTTAGCTTTTACACATATATATATATATATATATATATATATATATATATATATATATATATATATATATATATATATATATGAACGCGTAACGTGTTTCCTTACTATCCTTACAAATATAATAAACATTTGAAATGGAGAAAGAAATAGGCATAATATTTATTCCGATCAATCAACATATATGAACGAAGTCGCGGGTAATAGCTATTATGTATATGAATAAAAGTAAAAGATTTTGATTACATAATAAAAATAAAAATAATAACGATAACATGTAAATAATTAATTTATCGAATACTCTGCTGATCATTTGTATTCTACTACAGGACTGCACTGCGCACGTGCGCTAAACTTGACGTGACTTTAATTTGAATTTGGAACAAAATTAAATTCGCGCCATATTTATGGCTTTCGGGGGAAATCGAGAGTGGTCGAGTAAATGGCTCCTTTTCACGGCGCTCCAAAGTACACGCCTTTTAAGAGAAAAAAAAAAGGAGAATAATTCTATCAAGTACATTTATTGAGGAAACACGAAGCTTTAATCAAATTTATTGGGGTATGATTTACCTTAGTTCCATTCACAGTGAAGAGAGTGTCTACTTTAATATAATATTTCAGTTTTTAATATGTTTTTTAATACAATATTCTGGAGTTATATTTCTTTTTAAAAATTTTACTTAGTGTTAAATTCCAGCGCCGTTGTAATAAGAAGCAAGTATAAGTGAAATATATTTGAACAAAAAAAATAAGCACATAAAATAATCAATTTAATGTTGACCGTAAGTACTATATTTAATCTGTACTATCCGTAAGAAGACAAATGCGAAAGTATTCTTTAAGGGGAAACTCGAATAAGAACAAGCGGGTTTTTTAAATTTTTTTTATTAATTTATTAAAACTATCTCTATCAATTCTTATTATTTAATAAAATATTATATTTTCACTAAATTCAGCGACAGTAATATAATTAGCATTCATGGGGAAGCGCAGTTGTAGAAAAAGGAAAAAAAAAGATGACGATTCAGGTGATGTAGACCATGAACCTTGTAATGACAAGGATATATATTCGGAAGATACTTCTACTGACTCAGAATCTGAAATTGATAAGGCCGATAAGTATAAACCTTACTACGTCACAGATTATATTAGAAGATATCCCGAGGAATCCCCTGGGACAGAATTTGTTGTCTTTGTAGAATCCTCAGATAGTCAGAAAACCATTGGATCCAGAGACTTGCTCTCACTCTCCTCCTGTTTAAAACGATTTAATAAAGGGGTAACTTATCTTAGATCTATAAATAAATTCAAAATCGGAGTATACTTTCAAAAGCCAGACTTAGCCAATGCTTTTTTAAATAATAAAACTTTTTTAAATGACTACCATTTTAAGGCCAGTATTCCTGCTTCTTCAACAGAAGTTACAGGCGTTATTAGAAATGTACCTACAAATATATCTAATAAAAAAATATATACTATGATATCGAGTTCTAAGAAAATTATTGCTATTAAAAGAATTTTAAGAAAAAATACCTTGACTCATGGATATGTGTTACAGCCAACTCTAACCGTGACAATTACTTTTGCTGCATCTGTATTACCTGAATATCTGGATATTGGAGGTTGGCGCCACAATGTCACTCCATATATACCACCAGTTAAACAATGCTACCGGTGCTTGAGGTATGGACATTTAGCTAAATTCTGTAAGAATTCTGAGCGTTGCAGCATCTGCAAAGGTGAGCATAATTATAAAACTTGTACAACTGGAATGGAAAACGCTATTTGTGTACACTGCAATGGAAATCACACAAGTGTATCACCGCAATGCCCTGTTAAACAAAAGAAAATTGCTGAAAATAGATCTAAATTCAGACCTGCTTCTTTTGGAGATATACTTAGCACTGAAATATTTCCTAAACTGGGTAACAAACCTAAAAAAAATGTAGACCTAATTTCAATTCTAAATTCTGATAACAAGAGTTTATCACTTTTAATAGAAAGCATAATCAAACTTATTTCACTACATAACACAAAGAACACATCTATTAACACTAAAAGTGTTTTGAATGTGTTATATGATACTTTTGGTAATAGACCTATTTCACAAAATTCAATCGAGACCAATTAACTATCATACAGTGGAACGCTCAGAGCCTACTGAGCAATCGACATATTTTTACACAATTTTTAAATGAACATCATATTCACATTGCTCTCATCTCAGAAACTTGGCTAAAACCACATTACAAATTAAAAATTAAAGATTATTGTATAGAACGAAATGATTGTGGTAATAACCACAATGGAGTAGCGATTATTATACATAATAGTATTAGATATAAAAAACTTCACTCTTTTTTCGACAATTCTTTGCAAACTATAGCTATTAGTATTGAAGTTAATAATTCTTGGTATTCAGTTGCCAGTATTTACTGTCCTACCAATAGTACACCTAGTTTTACTAAAGCCAAATTTAAGTTCTTTTTGGAGTCTCTTCCTAAACCCACTATCATATCTGGAGATTTAAATGCACATCATACTATGTGGGGTTGTACCTCCACTAATACAAGAGGTAAAGACATTCTTGATTGTTTAGATGAATGTAATTTGGTACTATTAAATGATAAGCAAGTTACTACTGTTGGCTCTCATATTTGGAGACCCAATGGCCTTGATTTAACTATGGTATCCCCATCCATATCATTAAAATGCGAGTGGTCGGTTCATGATGATCCGTTAGGAAGTTATCACCTGCCGACTTTTACTAAAATAAACACAAAGAACTCTTCATCAACTCCGTCAGGTGAACAACATGCTCCTATAGATGAAGTTAATAAACTTTTGTTAAATCGTATAAACCTACGTCTCGTTAATTGGGATCTTTATTCTGAAACTGTTAATCGATTACTTTTGGATTTCGAGTATGATGTCAATGAACCCTTAAACAATTACAATAGGTTCTGTAAAATTATTTTGACAGCTGTGGAACGTTCCGTTCCACGTAGGAACTTATCAAATAGCGGTGCAAATACTTCAAAGAGGCACAAACATATTGCAGTACCTTGGTGGAATAACAGGTGTGCGACAGCTGTCAATGATAGTAAAGCGGCTTACCTTAGGTTTAAACAAAATCCAACTCTCGATAATTACATAAATTTTAAAAGAGTTCAAGCTGTTAAAAAGTTAGTAATTAAGCAAGTAAGACAACAGGGGTGGCAGGAATTTTGTTCCAAATTTAATAGATTAACACCAATTTCCACTGTTTGGCAAAATATGAGAAAACTAAATTCAAAACATCGTCAAAATCATTTTAAAGATATATCATGGGTCAATGATTTTTTACGCAAATATACTCCTGATTTTGTACACTCACCTTTTGATGACAAACAGTTTAATTCTGTTAATTCATGCCCAAAATTTCTCACTGACCCATTCTCAATTGATGAAATATCCAGTGCAGTAAAATCTAGAAAAGATACAGCTAGTGGCCTTGATCGCTTAACATACAATATGTTTCGATTGCTGAATAAAATAAACCTTACTAAACTCTTACAAATTTTTAACGATTTATGGAAGGACTGTATTATCCCACCAGAATGGAAAATGGATTGTTTGATTCCAGTAATTAAACCCGGTAAAGATCCTACAAATTTCGACTCCTATAGACCTATAACATTGACGTCCTGTGCAGGCAAATTATTCGAACAATTAATTAAACAGCGTTTAGAGTTCTTTATTGAAAGTAATAGTATATTACCATCGAATCAATTTGGTTTTCGCCGTGGATATTCAGCGCGCGAAAGTTTAGCGAACTTCTATGTCGACCTTAGTACTGCTTTGAATAACGATGAATATGTTCTATCTGTTTTTTTAGATGTCGTAGGAGCTTTTAACAATGTAAATTTAACAGTTCTATCTTCGATTTTATCCTCATTTCTTCCAATGAAACTTATCGAATGGATTTATAATTTTCTTAGTAATAGAGAAGTGTATGTTAAAGTAAATAGTAAATTAATAGGACCTAGGTTAAGCTCTAAAGGAGTATGTCAAGGTGGTATTCTAAGCCCGCTACTATATATTTTATATATCTATAAACTTAATTCAATTTTAGGAAACAGTGTGAACAACTTGCAATTTGCCGATGATTTATTAATTTATATAAAAGGAAAGAATATTATTGATATGCAATTAGTGTTAAATGAGTCATTAAAAAGACTTGAGAAATATTTTTCTCTTCTTTCCCTCGATATTAGTTTAACCAAAAGTAAAGTAGTTGTTTTTCATCAAGTTCATAAATATGTTCCATTAATAAATATTATATATAATAATCAAACTCTTCCAACAGACTGTAGCGTTAAATTTCTTGGGGTAATTTTTCATCAAAATTTAAAATGGGATCTATACGTTGATTGCTTAGTAGATCGTGCTTTAAGAGCCACTAATATAATAAGATCTGTAATTGGTCGTAACTGGGGAGCTGATCCTAAAATTATCCTTTTAGTTTACAAATCTCTTGTTAGAAGTAATTTTGATTACGCTTTCTTTTGTTATGCCTCAGAACATAAATTAGTAGAAAAACTCGAAAAAATTCAAAATATGAATTTAAGACTTATTTTAGGTGCTATGTATACTTCTCCAATTATCTCAATGCAAGTAGAATGTAATTTGCCTCCTATCCTTCTTCGTTTCGAATACCTAAAACTCAAATTTCTCTTCAAAGTTTTTTCAGTTTCCAATAACCCACTCATACTCAAATTATTAAATTGCCCCATTTCTATGTTTTTGAATAAAACTATTGTCAATGATTTGAATTTACGAGATGAATATAACATCTATAGTAGTAAGATACTTCCTTGTTATAATGGCCTTTATGAGAGTAAGTTCTGTAAGATCAAAATTGTTATACGTAAAGACATAAAAGAAAAGCACGATATGTATGAGACTTTATCAGAATTTATTGACTACAGGCAGATATATACAGATGGTTCCAAAAATGCACTTAGCACTTCAGTGGCTTTTTACGATTTGTCAAATAGATTTGGTCACGGTTATAAAATTTCAACTTTGGCTAGTATTTACACAGCAGAAGCAAAAGCTATATTTTTAGCATTAGAATACATAGAAAAACAGGTACTATATTCGAAATGGATTATAATTACAGATAGTATGAGTGTTCTTATGGCATTAAAAAATAACACATTCATTTCATCATCAAACTACTTAATTCAAGAAATTCGTAATAAATATTATCATCTCTGTAATATATATGGAAAAGATATTATCTTCATCTGGACCCCTTCACATATTGGAGTGTTTGGGAATGAACAAGTAGACACTTTGGCTAAAATTATTAATTCAAGTGCTGCTCGTGTTCAAGATTTACCCCTTTGTTACTCAGATTGTAGTATTGGAATACATAAAATCGTTACAACTAAATGGGAGGAGCATTGGACTCAAATATTACAGACTAAAGGCAAATGGTACCGCAAAATTAATTGGCGTATTGGAAAACCGTGGTTCTGCAAAGGAAAGGATACAAACAGAAAATTTTACACCAATATTTGTAGATTACGAATCGGCCACGGACATTTCAACGAACACCTGCACCGAATGGGCATGATCGCTTCCCCATCATGCACATGGTGTAACTCAAATACAGCCCAATCTCTACATCACCTTTTTTTGATTGCTCTGAATTTGTCATTCAAAGACACATTATGTTTGACGAACTTAGGATTATCTTCAAAAAACCCGAAAATATCCCGCACTCAATCCCGCTTCTCTTAAGATTTCCTTCTTGTTTCAAAGCTATTTTCACTTATATTACTACAACATTCAAGGAGCTATAAGAATACTTTTATTGAATTGCAAGACAATGATTTTTTATAATTATTTATTTTTAATTTGATAAATCCACTGGTTTAAGAAAACTCAAGAAAAGATATTTATGAAAATGTACTTACCGGATTTGACAAATGAAATATTGAAGATTATGACAATAATTGAAGCGACATTAGAAAAATAAAATTCCAGACAATTTATCTTTTTGAAGACTAGGCAGCATGGTCTCCGACCTTAGCCTGTTCCAAACGGAACAAACGTACTAAAAAAAAAAAAAAAAGTATTCTTTAATCTATGTTACTAGTCTATGCTTTTAAATTAATCTATTTTTGCTTCCAAATTACCAAAATATCTATTAGAAGATGCGATTTATAAGAATATTTATAAAACACACGTAATAAATATACTTGAATAAAAAATATTTTTTACTTTTATAATCATTAGATACAAAGTAAAAAAACAAACAAAGAATCGGCTCCCTAAATGTGGTGGTAAATGAAATATCAGAAAATGCGTTTCGTTACCCTTATACTACTAACCGTATAGATGAGAAAGAAGACAATACCATCTGTCGCTGTATCGCTACATATGCCTGCGGTAGCGATAACGTATCTATCGGTATAGTTTGTTACTTTTCTACCTATATTCAGTAGCGTTTGATAACAATTTATGCACCCTAGAACGGCAATAAAGTCGTCGGATCACCTGTTGGAAAATGTCGCCTATAGACTTCAAGACATGTACAGCGCCATAGATATTATAAAATATACTGTGTCACCTATTATACACTCCATGCCTTGCCTTTCCTGAGGACTAAGGTATTTTGCCTCCATACCCTGTAATTTTCAATGTAGGTCATCATGTAATTCGCAATGTAGGTGCCGGCATAGAAAAGGCCACCCATTCCTTTCCCGTGGGTGTCGTAAGAGGCGACTAAGGCAACTTAACAGTCGAGGAATGGGCAGCAGCGTCCCTTTTAAAACATTACTAAAAACTAAACGGCAGTTGCCAAACGTGGCAACTACTGTCAAAACCTCACTTATGGGAGAAGCTATGTTCAGCAGTAAACAAGTAACGGTTGATACAACAAACAAAAACCCTATAATTGTACTGTCATATCCCACTCTTCAAACCGAAAGCTGAAATAACAATGAATGGTTACTAAAAAAAACATATGTACAGCTAAATAAGAACTGTAGAACAATGTACCTAAAATCGCACAGGTATTGTTTACACTAATGAATTCTTTATGCGAGGTACGTGCTAACAAAGACTGGAACTTATATAGTTTCTATAAGCAAGGACATTGCACAAATTCGAACGAATGATATCACTTATGGGCGGGAGCACCTAGATACTAGCTTGAGCCCTTCGACTCAGTGCAACGACGAGCTATGAGAATTGTCGATGATCCCAGGCTTGGAAGCGGTATCGAACCCTTAGTCTTAGGAGAGATTTTGCCTCACTCTGGGTGTTCTACCAGTGTTGTACAACGGATTGTGCTCAGAGGAATTATTCAATATGATGCCTGCGGCCACTTTCTATCATTGTACGGCTCGCCATCGACAGGGAGTTCACCCTCATACCCTACAGCCTCAATGGTCGCGTACTGCGCGGTTTCAAAAATGTTTTCTCCCACGAACACTCAGGTTGTAGAATGAGCTTCCTGCCAAGGTTTTCCCAAGAGACTACAGCATGAGGTTCTTTAAAAGGGGGGAAAAGAGGTTTCTTCAGGGTCGGCAATGCGCGCGTAATACCTCTGGCATTGTAGGCGTTCATAGGCTACAGTAATCGCTTACCATCAGGTGGGCCGTATGCTTGTTTACCACCTCAGTGATATAAAAAAAAAGAAAAAAAGAACGAATGAATAAAAACTAGTTATTGTTCCATTTAAACTGCAATAACCAGACAGTATTTTACATTTCGACAATAAGCATACAAAGAACTGAGTAATAACGCACCTGCAACGTCTTGTGTCCATTGTGGTGGTCATCACGGCGGCTGCTCCTCAAGTCTATGGTTTGGAAACCGTCGTCGATGCCGTCGAACGCTTTGTTGACGCAACCGCCACCGTCATCAGTTGTCTGCGACATATTTTAGGCCTAGAACAAAAAAAAAATTAAAAGTCATAGCTGATAGTCTATGTCAGTAGTGTATAGTACCAGCCTTAGGTAGGGCTGAAATGGGCGACGCGACCAAGAGGGACCCGAGGTATAATAATAATAATTATTATTATTATTGGAACCAAAAAACTTTGTTATATTTACAAAAGTAAGGTAGTGTACGAACTTTTAGTGTGGGACCTTTGTGTAATACAATATAAAAAAAAAACTTTTTCCCAAAAACCGAAATTATTTATTTAATATTTTTTTTTTATACACAGCTAATAGAACAATTGTACTGATTTGAAGGTTCACTTTGACTCGCAACGCGCGAGATCCTTGGTTCAGGGTTTTATTGAGCCTGGATGAATCTCATGTTATTTTTATTCTTTTGGTGAATTTATTATTATTTTAATTGTTATTAATTAATAAATAATAAATTAAGTTTCTATTAAGTTGTCATTGGTACTTTGGACAAGGCATGCCCGCATTGTCATGCACTTAAATTTAAAAAGAAGCCAGTCGGGATGTGTTGCTCATCAGGAAAGTGCAACTAACAGAAATTAAAACACTATCTGAACCATTGCACGGCTTACTTATCGGATCCAGATTCTATCCTGTTCCTAAAGTCAATTCGCACATTCAATTCATGTTTGTAACTGACGTCTTTCGGAGCAAAAGTTGAATGAGCAAAAAAAAAAGTAAACGCTCAAAAATTTAATTTTACGTTCATTTGGAAAGCTAAGTTTATCACAAAAAGGGATCATTGTTGTTCAGTTCATTGCTGATACCCATCGTTCGTATGACAATCTCCAATTTGCGCTAATTTTATAAAAAAAAAAAAGCTAATAGGGGAAAAAGTATGCACACCGGGTCAGCCAGGTACTTTAATTGTATACAACGCTTCATTCCTGTTTCAATTATAATTACATCTCCACACACTTATAGTGTTATTTTTTTATTATCTAGAAATGATATATATGGTTAACAACATTTGCCGGGCCAGCTAGTAATCTAAAAAAAATTGAAAGCAAAAAAACGTTAAAATTTAAAAAAAATCATTTTATCGATCTGTGAAATTAGGTATTCCAAAGTTTTAGTTCAAATGTATTTACACGAATTTAAACAGTTATTTTAGTTTACGTATAGGCATATGACAAATTATAAATATCTTTGCCAATTCTAAACCGGTTTTTCAAGTTGGAAACTTATACGTTTCTACTCAGACTTCTAATTTTTTTTTATATAAACTTGATAAGACTAGAAATGTGAGAACTTGTTTCACGGTGTAGAAAACTATACACAGGCGAGCTGTATGCGCGTGCGCATGGGAATTGGCGCGTTCATATAAAAAAATTTTACCGCCCGACGTGTGCTTCGATTGTGTGCCATTTCTGTGTCACTGGGCACGTTATTGTTGATTGCACCTGTCATTCAACTTCGAATCGCATGAATAGGTCCTTTTGTATTTGGAGCTATGTATTTGTAATAGTTCTATCAATGATACAGTACCTGTAATAAAAGTATTCTTATACCTATCTCAGGCACCAGTCTCTCACAATTATATTTATATTTTTTTTACAATTTTTTAATGATGGGGCTAGACCTAATTTAAATGTGGCCAAGTAAGACTTTGCGCGGGTCCCTTTGTTAATGAAAAAAAGTTGATTTTAATAAAAATGGACTGTACAATTGTAAAAAGAAGAAGAAAGATTATGTCCAAAAAAAAACTGACTTCAATTGTGACAAAGCCATTTATTTTGACCTAAAAACTAAACCACTGAAACGATTTGGATCTTTTTTATACCAAAAATTTATATACCAATCTGTAGTATATCCTTTCAGATTTAGAGCTCGTAGATGCCTTGTCTATGAGCCAGAATAGATAAAACCATCCGTAATAGCATGCATGGAGCTCGGATGAGATGCATAAATTCATGACTATCGGCTATTGTCAGGTAAGAAAGCCAATTTATATAGCCACTAGGCAATTTTGTAAATATACACACAACGCGCTTTATGAAGTTAATCCATATATTTTTATTTTATGCAATTTAGAATAACAAAGTAACTGACGGCCCACCTGATGTAAAGTGGTAACCGTCGCCTATAGACATGAGCAGTAGCACGGACATAACAAAGTACATATACTGTTTCGTCCATGATAACCCCCAAAACGTTGCTTTTTCTGAAGACTCAGGTGTTATTCCTCTGTACCCTGTAAATTCACTGCCATATTCCACCTTTCAAACCGAAACACAGCCATTCAAACACAATTGCTTCACGGTAGAAACACGAATGGAACAGAGGTACCCAAGCAAACGACTTTTCTACAAATGTGTAGTTTTTTTAATAGTTGATAATGAAAAGGTAACCCCGCCCGCGCGAACGATATACGCCGGCAGGGCACCAGTGAGGAATGATAAGTGAGGATTAAAGAGGCAGATCAGTCAGTCCATAGTGGTAAATACTCCACGATTGAGGAGTTAAGCGTGATGGTGGGATATGGCAGTGAATTTACAGGGTACAGAAGAATAACACCTGAGTCCTCAGAAATGGCAACGCATGCGAGGTATCATGGGCGGAACAGTATACTCTGTTATGTCCATGGTACTGCTCATGTCTATAGGCGATTGTTACCACTTTCCATCAGATGAGCCGTCAGCTTGTTTGCCATTCTAAGTTGTATAAAAAAATACACAATATCCAAAGTCCAAAGGTACAATGCCCATACATTGTATAAAATAATAACTCAAAACACAGTTATTTATATTTTACTGCACACAAAGACTACATTGTTTTAAATTGTTTACAACAAAAGCACGCGTAATACCCCTGGTATTGCAGGTTCATAGGCTACGGTAACCACTTACCATCAGGTTTGCCACCTCTGTGGTATATAAAAAACGTATGTACCCATAATATAATTAAAAATTGGGTCTCACAAAAAAAAACCGACTTCAATTGTGACAATACGAATTGTTTTGATCTTAACACAAAAGGACTAAACCGATTTGGATGTAATTTCTATGAGACTAAATTATGAATACGTCCTTTCAGATAAAAAAAGGATTTTCCAAATCGGTTTTCAACTGACGGAGTTATGAGGTAACAAACAAAAAAAAGTACAATCGAATTGAAATTCCATGTTTTTGAAGCCATTTGAAAAACAATATGTGTTGGTACACAAATACACGCATAACAGAGTTTAATTCGTCACCAAAATTGTATTTAAATATATTAGACTCGTGCTTATTCCAAAATTTCTTGCCTACAGGTGTCGTTTGATAGGCATCACAATAGCTTATCTGTCATACTTATGAACAGTTTTTTTTTGTGGGTGAAAATGGTATGATAACACCGCCTGCGCCAACAGGACACGCTGGCGGAGCACCAGTGAAGGGTGATAGATGAGAATGAAAACAGGCCAGTCAGCCCATCATGATGAATTCATCAGGAATTAACCGTGATAGTTTCTAGGGGGAACCGCGAGAAGGTCGACCTGGTTGGGTATATTGTTAGCAATAGGATTTTCAGTCTCCATTACTAACAATCTCTTATTCCCCACTTATGAACAGTTAGTCTATCTATTCGAGTTATTACTTCAAACTTTGTGTTAATTTACATTTCACATTACCAAGTAATAATGCGTACTGTATTCGTATGTAGTATAGATATAATCATGTCTAATCACTCTAATATCTCATGTCTAAATTTTTTTTTATACAACTTAGAATGGCAAACAAGCTGACGGCCCACCTGATGGAAAGTGGTAACCGTCGCCTATAAACATGAGCAGTACCATGTACATAACAGAGTATACTGTTTCGCCCATGATACCTCCCATGCGTTGCCATTCCTGAGGACTCAGGTGTTATTCCTCTGTACCCAGTAAATTCACGCCATATCCCACCCTTCAAACCGAAACACAGCCATGCAAACACAGCTGCTTGCTGTTGATGTACCTATTTTATTTATTTATAATTTTAAATAATAATTTAATTAAAATTTCCATCATTTACTTATATTGTTAATAACTTTATTCATTTAATGACATTTAATAATTTAATTCCATTTTAATATTTATCAAACACAAAGTATGCTGTGGTCGCCTCTAAATGTAAGAACAGTTAGCTCTAATCTACCAGTGTATTGTATTGAAATACTTCGCAGTATCTTATGTTGGTTATCATATAAATAAATAAATATACTAATTGACTGTATTCAATTCAAAAATAAATCTTAATTTGTAAAACAATCTTTAAGTCGATTACATGTTTTTTAACCAAATCTGTTTTCTAACTGGTTGTTAAATTTGAGTTATCATAAATGTCTGTAGCAAATCCACATGAATAAATAATAATTGGATTTCATCTGACTTGTTTCAAAATATTGAAGGTCCGTATTATTATCAGAAAGATTATTATCGCAGTGTAACCTGAGCGGTAGATAACAAACTTCATCAAAGCGAATGAATTCCGCAAACACTGTTAATAAACAAGACGATGCACATAAAAGCAAATAGAGTGGGTGGAAGTGGCACTCCTATGCTTTTTCGTTTACACGGAAATTCTATCAAAATGCATCCTTCTTTCTTTCAAATTATACATAAGTTGGAAGAGTTGTCACAAATTCATTAATATTTATTATGATTGTGTTCAGAGGAATTGTTCAATATGATGTCCACGGCCACGTTCTACCATCGTGCGGCTCACCATCGACAGGGAGTTCACCCTCCTACCCTTGAGCCATGTTTTCTCCCATAGGTTATAGGATGAGCACCCTGTCGAAGTTTTTCTAAGAGACTACAGCATGGGGTTCTTCAAAAGGGGATAAAAAGATTTCTTCATGGTTGGCAACGCGCGCGTAATACCCCTGGTATTGCGTCCATAGACTTATAATAACTGCTTACCATCAGGTGGTGCGTATGCTTGTGGCAAACAAACCTCAGTGGTAAAAAAAAATTAAAAATATATATATATTTTTTTTTATTATTATATAATGAGACTCACGCAACACATGTGTATGTAAGCTAGCGATTTCACTGCAAGGAAAAGCGATTGTACGTAGTTATATACACTGTCAGATCGACTTCCACTGGAAACCATCGTGGTTAATTCTTGTTAAATTTGTTACGATGAGCTAAACTGCTTTCATCTTCACCTATCATCAATTACTAGTGCCTCACCAGCGTATACCGATCATTTATATCTGTGTATCATTTTATTATCACTCGTTTAAAAAAAAATTAGCTCATACTTTAGTATCTGTTGCTTATATAAGTCATGACAGATTTTAAAACGTCAGCCGTCAACGCCAACGTCTATTTCAGCAGAACTTAAATTAAAAGACAACCAAGACTTGTTGACATTATTACAGAAGGACTCTCTGACTAAAATTAGTAACAAATTAAAAGATTTCATCAATAAAAACAGCTTGATCGGATCAATTATTTGTTTGTTTACATTTTTATTAAGTTTTGTTGAAATATATAATAATATAATATTAACAAAATTTATTTATTTAACTCATTGTTGCACCAAAAACATAAAAACATACAATGACAATCAGAAAATTCAAGTAAAATACAGCATAAAGTACAGATATACCCATATTATTATATTTAAATAAAATTTAGGCAGAAGCACGGTCGCCCGGGATTCAGGGCCCCAGGGAGAGAAACCGGCGTACTATGCAGGCAATATCTAAGAGCGCCGCTTTCTGCATCTTTCCCGGGAGTAAACCGCTTCGGAATCCTAATCATATGAGACGTTTACCAACAGTTTCGGTAGAAGTCACCCATGTCATGTTTTTATTAATATTTTATTATAATGTTATTATTGAATTCACGAGAGTGTCACTTCTACCTGGATATTCGTTTATATGAAACTACCTAGCATGTAATTGTATGTAATTCTCGACTCAACGTCAACACAAGACGTCTGAGTACACACGAGTTGATAATGCCATGTCAGAGATTAATTACTGTAAATAGTTCTGCTTGGATGATAGCACTAAGGTTTGTCAATAATAAAAGATAATTCCTAATAATGAATATAAATACCATGTGCTGGGTACTTATCACCAACACCGCTGACGAGAAAACAATAACTCTAGTAAGTTTATTTAAGTTTTATAATAAATTTGTCTAGTTCTTTTTGCTTTAAAATTGTCACAATATTGTACACCGCTCTAACTGCTGGCATTAATGCTCCTTTCCACTTTGGGTTTGCTGGAAGACAACTCTTTTAGAGTTAAGCTTGCCTTTGTACATTTGATTACCTCTGTCATATTTTTATAAATAACTGGTGTGTACAATAAAGAATTAAATAGAAAATAGAATAAAATTAAATAGAAAATCTTAAATTATTTTTATTATATTTTTATCTTTAGATTCGGCAACGACTAAACAAAACATACTGTTTTATTCTAAAATTTTTAGTTCCACAGTGATTTTGTAGAAATTCTAGAAGCGTATTTTATGTATCATTTTATTTAAAAGCGTTCTTCTAGTAGTTCGTAGTTATTTTTGCTTTAAAATTGTCACAATATTGTACACCGCTCTATCCGCTGACATTGATGCTCCTTTCCACTTTGGGTGTTGCTGGAAGAAAACTCTAGTAGAGTTAAGCCCGCCTTTGTACATTTGATTACCTCTGTCATAATTTTTTGTATTATTAATGTGTACATTAAAGTATTAATTAAAATAAATAAAATGTTTCACAGTATGTTGATAAGGGCAGTATAGCACATTGCGTTGACTTCCTAACTTTGCGACCACATTTATTGCTGTTTAATGGATAATTATAAACTAAATTTAATATTATTTAGACATAAATCTATTCGAAAATCATTTTAGCCTTTAGAATAAATATTTAGGTGTAATATCAAATTAAAATTTTAATTTCATATATAGGTTTAGAGAGCACCTTAGAATCAACATTGTGTGTTTAAAGTTAAAATTATTATGTATGTACTATTTATTTGTATTTATGTATTTATACCAGAGGGAGATTTTGTACAAAAGTCGATTGTTTGGGCACCTCTGTCCTATTCGTGTTTCAACCATGAAGCAGCTGTGTTTGCATAGCTGTATTTCAGTTTGAAGGGTGGGATATGGCGTGAATTTACTGGGTACAGAGAAATAACACCTGAGTCCTCAAGAACGCATGGGGGGTGCCATGGGCGAAACAGTATACTCTGTTATGTCCATGGTACTGCTCATGTCTATAGGCGACGGTTACCACTTACCATCAGGTGGGCCGTCAGCTTGTTTGCCATTCTAAGTTGTATAAAAAATAAAACAAAAAATATGTATGTATTATAAGTATGTATTGTGTTTAAATTTATTTTTAGCTCCCATCTCCATCCTAATCTCCATCCTAAAGTTGCCTGGAAGAGATCGTTATTTAGCGATAAGGCGGCCCATTGTTGCCTCTTTATCTTGCTTTTATGTAATTAAGTTTATGTAAGTAAGTGTTAAGCATTTTGTTTGTTTATATATTATTAATCTTTATAATCTGCATCATTCTTTGAAGAAAACAGCAGAGTTTTTATTCATTCATTCATATATGAATATATATATATATATATATATATATATATATATATATATATATATATATATATATATATATATAGATTTTTTTCTTAATTGTCAACTAAAAAAAACTATAGTTCATTTGTTTTGTCTATAGGCGAGGAGCTGATAATACAAAGTACAAACTGTGCATTTATTGTGTTTGACCAAATTTTTTAGGTTAGTAGGTAGTTTCAATTAATTATAATTTATAAAGTGATTAACAGTATGACATGTAATATCGACTCATCATTGTTAATTTTATAATTAATTTGTTTTATACCTAACAAAAGTGTTACACGTACTCTAAGGTCATCGATTTAAGGTCTAAGTTCGAAGAACTGATAACTGATGGAGTTGAAAGGTTCTTAAGTTACAACCTCGTGCAGGATTTACAGATAAGCGTAGTGTAGAACCCACACTGGATAATAATAATAAATATTTTTCTATTCAAGTAAACTTCATAGTAAGTATTTTTGAATATTTTTTTTTTTTTTATAAATCTACCGCCCAGTTTGAAATGCAATTTCAACTGAGAAGAACGGTCAAGAAACACAGCTGTTGCTTTTTTTTTTCAAATAAAAGTTAAAAAAATATGAATGGATAAAATTACTATCACTATCATCGTATTGATGGGGGGAAAGGGATTGTTAGTAATGGAGACTGAGAATCCCATTGCTAGCAATATACCCAACCAGGTCAACCTCCTCGCGGTTCCCCCTGGAAACTATCATGGTTATGAATTTATCATGATGGGCTAACTGGCCTGTTTTCATTCTCATCTATCACCCTTCACTGGTGCTTCGCCAGCGTATCCCGTTAGCACAGGCGGGGTTACCATACCATTTTCACCCATCAAAAAAAAAATCTGCACGTAAGAAATAGCAAGCAAAACTCTGATACATAATGTTATAAATAAATACTTTCGAAAATTTCACAAAAAATAAAAAACAAAACAAGTCGAGAATCTATATAAACAGATGTCCGATAAAACATGGTTGGGAAACTATAGAAACAACAATTAAGTAATCCGTAGTTCCGTTTTAACCAATCGGTCATGGTTGAAATTGGCCATTGAGTTTCGGATCATGGTAACTGTGAGTCGAACATTTATTCCTTTCGATGCGCCCAGAATCCCACCAGCAACTATATATTGTTTTATCACCCTTTAACTGTCCACTGCTGAACATAGTCGCCCCCCCCCCCCCCCCCCAAGGGGATTTTGCTAGTACTTACCACGCTCGACAGGTAGGTTTTTTTTTGATGGGTGGAATGGTAACCTCGCCTGCGTTAAAGGGATACACTGGCGAAGCACCAGTGAAGGGTGATAGATGAGAATGAAAACAGGCCAGTTAGCCCATCATAATGAATTCATCAGGAATTAACCATGATAGTTTCCAGGGGGAACCGCGCGGAGGTCGACCTGGTAGGGTATATTGATAGCAATGGGGACTACCCTCCCCATTACTAACAATCCCTTCCCCCCCGGCAGGTAGGTTGGCAACCGCAGTTTGACCTTTAGTCATGTTTTAAAAGGGACGCTGCTGTCTATCTCTCCACATGCCATGCACATACTCTAACGTTAACACATCTCTACGTTTGGTTGATATAATAAATATTTATTAAGTACCCAATATTTATAATATTATTTAAAATAAGTATTATAAATATTTAAAACATATTCGAAACACCTATTTTATAGAACGATATAACTCTCATAATAATAATTAAGCATTATTTTTAAATATTTAAAAAAAAATCGTAAATATAGTGTTAGGAACTAGGTGCAATTTTATTAAGCATTCTGTTACTTACTTGCTTTTATTGCTTTCACGAATCATTCCATCGTACACAGCACAAAACAAAACAAAAAAAAAAAATACAACCTCAATAAGATTCCACTCACATAGTACCGACACAATAATGATTACAAAATCTGTGACGCAATGCGAAGAAAGTAAAAGTACAGCCGCGATTCCAAATTCGAAATTTGAATTTACGCGCGAAACGTGCGACGTCTCACCTGTCGCGCGGCGGACTGCGCGTGCGCTGGTTGGTCAAGGAGCAAGGACCGTGCAACCTGCTAGGCCGGATATGTAGGGTTGCCTTGCCTCCAACCTGTACAATTGGCCGCGGTACAAAAAAAATTAATAATGATGATGCGGTGAAGCCTGACGGGGACGTAGCTACTACCAGTTAGGGACCGTTCATTAAAATGTTTCGTCATGTAAGTATTTGTATGTTATTTCATATTGCTGGCATAAAATTATAAGAAGTGACTTGTAAAAAAAGAGCTACGAGTAAATTTAGATATATAATACAAATAATATAGTCACGAATGTGATCAAAGTACCCACATAAATCGAGAAAACAATAATATAATATATACAGAGGTTTTTAAAGTGATGTCCCTACATATAGACAAATGCAATGTAATGCAAGGGCTAATAACTTTTAAGCGATAACTACATAAAGAGCAATTAACCGTGATAATGTCCAAAGAGGTCGAATAGATTTTTTTTATACAACTTAGAATGGCAAACAAGCTGACGGCCCACCTGATGGAAAGTGGTAACCGTCGCCTATAGACATGAGTAGTATCATGGACATAACAGAGTATACTGTTTCGCCTATGATACCCCCCATACGTTGCCATTCCTGAGGACTCAGATGTTATTCCTCTGTACCCTGTAAATTCACACCACATCCCACCCTTCAAACCGAAACACAGCCATGCAAACACAACTGCTTTACGGTTGAAACACGAATGGGACAGAGGTATCCAAGCAAACGACTTTTGTACAAAGTCTCCCTTTGGTAGATGTCACTATATTGCTATTAGATTTTATTGGTATTCAAATTTGGAATTGTATTAAAATTCGAATATGGTATTTTTTTTTTTAATTTAAAACTAAATAAATCCAAAAACTAAACTGAGCTGTGTTCTCGTGAATTATTTGCATTGTAAAATGTAAATTAATCGAACAATGCGTGGGTGGCGCGAATGGTCTGATACGAAACACTGATCGATGATTACTTATTCATTTATACAATTTATACAAACAAATACGATTCGCAGTGTATATTCACATTTTTAAATATTAATAAAACAAATATATTAATAGTTATCATTATAATAAGTAGTTTAATAAATTATATATATATATATATATATATATATATATATATATATATATATATATATATATATATATATATATAAAGATATATAATAAAGAGTAAAGATTTTTTTTAATATTTCTTTATTTTAAAAACTACCTACTTAAACTATTTTAAAAATTCATTCACCTAAAATCAGCAAGTAACTAAGTAAGTGGGAAGAAGGGATTGTTAGTAATGCGGACTACCAGTCCCATTACTAGCAATATTCCCTGTCAGGTTGACCTCCACGTGGTTCCCCCTGGGAACCATTGTGCTGGATTCTATATGATATTCATCACGATGGGCTAACTGACCTGCCTTTTCATTCTCACCTGTCATCCCTCACTGGTGCCCCGCAAGCGTATACCGATAGCGCAGACGGGGTTACCATTTCATTATCATCCATAAAGTAACTAAGTAAGTCGTAAACCAAGATGGGTCACTAATGAGATATAAAAATATTATTATATCTTTCATATCACCAATCACCTTCAACTTTTAACTAATTAATCGTGACATTTGTAGTAGAAAATGTAATAAATATTTATTCCTTTATTTTTAAACATTAGTGTTTACTTGTTGTTCGCTGTTGGTACATAGATATATCACGTTTTTCCGCACTTCGTTCTTGAATTTCCTTATTTAATCGACGTCTATGTGCCATAAGGAACAAGAATATATCTATTAAGTATACAGTTTCAAAGGTAAAGTAAAATCCTCAGCAATAACAATTATATAAATGGTATTTCTCTTTATAGTTTAAATTAAATGTACCGTGAGAGTTAGTAAAGAGAATGTAATGTAATATTATAATTTTTATGTACAATTAATATATAAATAATAATGAACTTAGGTTTTTTTTTATTATAAATTCACTCTGAGGCAAATATACTCACATACCAGAGGGAGACTATACAAAAGTCGTTTGCTTGGGTACCTCTGTCCCATTCGTGTTTCTACCGTGAATCAGTTGTGTTTGCATGGCTGTGTTTCGGTTTGAAGGGTGGCATATGGCATGAATTTACAGGGTACAGAGGAATAATATCCGAGTCCTCAGGAATGGCAACGCATAGAGGGTATCATGGGCGAAACAGTATATTCTGTTATGTTAATGATACTGCTCATGTCTATAGACGACGGTTACCACTTTCCATAAGCTTGTTTGCCATTCTAAGTTCTATATAAAATTGTTATTAATCGTAATTATTACTATATTAGTTATTCTAAAATGTAATAAAATATCATCATATATCATATTATATATATATATATATCAATATTATCATCATCACCAGAGGGAGACTTTGTACAAAAGTCGATTGCTTGGGTACCTCTGTCCCATTCGTGTTTCAACCGTGAAGCAGTTGTGTTTGCATAACTGTGTTTCGGTTTGAAGGATGGGATATGGCGTGAATTTACTGGGTACAGAGGAATAACACCCGAGTCCTCAGGAATGGCAACGCATGGGGGGTATCATGGGCGAAACAGTATACTCTATTATGTCCATGGTACTGCTCATGTCTATAGGCGACGGTTACTACTTTCCATCAGGTGGGCCGTCAGCTTGTTTGCCATTCTAAGTAGTATAAAAAAAAAAAAAAAAAAAAAAAAAAAATCATTATTATATTAAAATCTAATTTAATCTAACAATTATTATGAAATTTTTTTTTTATAATATAATTGTTACAATCTATTGTTCGGTGATAACCCTAGAAATAATGCCGTAAAGCGTGAGAACACAAGAAAGAAACAACATAACCTCCCACAAAAAAACTTGAATGGGCACCATTGTGACATCATATATATATTTATATATGATGTACTTGTGTAACAACCTATATAATTTTAATGGAGTTAAACTTATCTATGTTGTTTTAACTAAGATCTTTAACGGTGCAAAATATTAGAAAAATATATAATAATTTCATAACCTTAATAATCTGTGACAAATATTCAAGAAAAGCAAGGAACAGGCGTAGTCGTACATATCACGGTAAAAAAAAGAAAACAAATAGGTATTATTTGTTGTACCTATTACTTATTTTATGCATTTTGTTTTTTTTTTTGTATATATATTTTTTTTCTTTTTTCCCTGTGCATTTATGTCTATTGTTGTTTGCACATAGGTAATGCAAATAAATTATCTATCTAACTGATTGTTCTTTCATAGAAGTATGTCTCTTTGTCTATGATCATACACAGTTGTCAAAATAACCTAATGGATGTTACATTTGGAATATTGAATTCAACGTAACTGGAAGCAAACCGACTACCATCTCTCTGACTGTAGGTGTAGTGGCAAACTGCCTATACATAGAATATGGCACTAGAATTATAAGGGTACGGAATAAATGCTGGAATTTTAACTGTATTTACAAATTGCCAGTTTCCACATATTACAATTAATAAATTTTTAAATGTCAAACTTTAATAAAACACATATTTATAATTACATAGACGTTACTCTCTGTTTGAATGTTGTTTAAATTTTTTGACATTTACAAATAGTACTTAAATTTTTGACATTTACAAATAGTACTTAAATTTTTGACATTTATACTATTCTTGACATTATATAATTTGTAATATTTCTTTTTGCAACGCTACAGTTCGCCAAACAAAAAATTTGCATGCTAATCTTGGCAAAAGATGTTGGTACTATAATATAATTAAAATAACCAATGTGTATTTACTTAACACACATGTTTGTGCATATAAATTCATCTTTATCTTTACAGAATAAAAAAATCATAATTTGAATTTGAATAATTTAAAATTTTGTTCTGCGAATAAAAAAAAAACTACAATTGTTACAAAACTAGTTATTTCGGTTTCCAAAATAAACTATTGTACCGATTTTGATAAAATTTCTATACGACCAATCTGTAAGTATATCTTTACAGAAAAAAAAATCCAAATCACTTTATATCTGACGGAGTTATGAGGTAATAAACATTAAAAAAATACAACCGATATCAGAACCTCCTTCTTTTCGAAGTCGGTTAATTAATGGTAATTCCGTATTGTTACTAATCAATTAAATAATGTATGATCTAAAATTATATCATACTAATATAAAAAAAAATTCCTAGACAATGTTTGTACATGAATGAAAGAAAGAAAAAACTTTATTCTACAGAAATATGCGACTACACCCACACAGGGGTTAAAAAAGGGGTTGGCTGTGTTTCAGTTTGAAGGGTGGGATATGGCGTGAATTTACTGGGTACAGAGGAATAACACCTAAGTCCTCAGGAATGGCAACGCATGGGGGGTATCATGGGCGAAACAGTAAACTCTGTTATGTCCATAGTACCGCTCATGTCTATAGGCGACGGTTACCACTTTCCATCAGGTGAGCCGTCAGCTTGTTTGCCATTCTAAGTTGTATACAAAAAAATAATTGGTTTTTCTATTTCTAAAATCCCCGTGTATGAAACAACTGGCCAGATGCTAATTAAAAATCAAAATATTAAAAAAAAAACATTTCATCAACATTAACAACGTGGATCAATGTATCCCACAATAAATTAATACTAGTGTCGCATCTGAACACACCCATATGTATGGAATGAGGACACATCAAGCAATGTGGAACACAGCCAGGTACACCGTGCCGACCGACTTACAGACCACACAAAGCCGCAGGTAAACGACAGTTGTTGATGAAAGACGGCTTTTCATTTCAGCCTTTTTTCAGTTCATAGTTTCCAGTCGCTCCGCTGATGCATCTTTGAATATACACGTCAGAGAGAGAGGCGAAAATTGGGTGGTGACCTCGCCATTTTCCGCCTACATATCTTTTTTGCTTTGTTATGATATCATTACCTGTGTGTACTTACCGTTTTTTTTTTTTTCTAAACATACATACGCTCAGAGATCAACTGTAAAAAATGTTCCTTATACACATACTAGCCGTTGCCCGCGACTTCGTCCGCGTCAATTTCTGTTATTATGATAAGGATTAATATTATTATGTTGACTTAACTCTTTGGCAAGGGTGGAAAGGGATTGTTAGTAATGGGAATTTAGCAGTTCCATTAATAGTAATATGCCCTATCAGGTCGACCTCCACGCGGTTTCTCCTGGTAATCATCGTGGTTCTTATGGATTTTATAACGATGGGCTAACTGACCTGCTTTCATTCTCACCTATCATCCTTCATTGGTGTCCTGCCAGCGTATAGCGTTAGCGCAGGCGGGGTAACCATTTCATTATCATCGCACGAAAAGAACTCTTTGGCAAACAATTGCCAATAATGCATTTATTTCAACCAAATTTGATTACCATAAAAATGTTATAATGAGTCAATCTTAAAAGATAGACATATACCGTCGCGGACATTTTTTTAGGTTATTTAAAGAGGAATATCTCTTTCATACATATTTTTTGGGTAACATGAACTGTTTACGCAACGCACGCAACGGAAACCCACAAATATAAATAATTTTCCCCGTTTTTGCAACATTTTTCACTGATGCTTCGTCCCTATTGGTCGCAGCATAATGCTATATAGTCTAAAGATTTCCTCGATAAATGGACTATCCAAAAGAAAAAGATTTTATCAAATCGGACCAGTAGTTCCTGAGATTAGCGCGTTCAAACAAACAAACTCTTCAGCTTTATAATATAAGTATAGATGGGGGAAAAGGATTGTAAGCAATGGAATTTGACAGCCCCATTGCTAGCAATATACCTTATTAGGTCGACCTCCACGTGGTTCCCCCTGGAAACCATCGTGAACAATTCTTGTAGAATTCGTCACGATGGGCTAACTGACCTATTTCATCCTCACCTATCATTCTTCACTGGTGTCCCGCCGGTGTATATCGATAGCGCGGGTGGGGTTACCATTCCATTATCATCCATTTAAATATATTAGTATAGATATATAAAAAAAATATATTAGTATAGATAGTATTAGTATTAGTATAGGAAACAAAGTATATCACCTACCTACATCTGAAATAACCGTTACCATGACAACGGGTAATATTGACAAAATATTGTGTTTTTGAAACGATTATATCTCCAAAAAAAACTAATAAAAAATGTTTTTAATTTGATATACGAAATAATTGAATTGAATCAAATATGAAATTATTGAAGTTCCACCTACGATACCATCCGCCGGGTATCATACTCGAGTACTCCCAGAAGGGACTCATCAAGAACAAGGACATTGATCTTCTTGAGCTAAACAGCAAGTATGTACTTAATTTGTTTACTTTAATTATTTTACCACGTGAAACGATTATTGTGATGACATCATTATGACAGATTTTTACAAAGCCATCATCATCACCAACCATCATCAACCTGTTTTCTATCCACTCCTGAATATAGGCCTCCTGCATAGACTGCCGTAAAGAACGGGATCATTCCTTGTGACAGTTTGCCATTGGGGGTTTCGCCAGTAGTTACCATGCTTGGCAGGCGGATTGGTAACCGCAGTTTATTAAGCTATCGACTCCCCACAATTTTTATTTTGGATTTTTTCCTATGGCATATTAATTTTCAATGACAACAATCCTTAAAATTTTTTACACACTTGACCGTTTTATTTTTATTTTTAAAATATTCATAGTTGCACTTGATGCAAAAAAAAATTAACGAAATATTCTTATTTTTCGAGAATGCATTGTCTCATTCTTTCATCTCTTTCTAGCTCAGACATAAAAGAAATAGCAAAGAGTCTGTACCAGAAGGAACTGCTTATTACAGACGATGTACGTGATCAACTAGAACAGTGCCTTGAGACACTGAAGAAGAGAATCGAGCACGAGGGTCCCTCTGGGAAGCGCTTCTACATCTACAAAACCCTTCAGACCCATGTCTTGCCCTTAACAAATGTAGCGTTTGATAAAAATGGAAAAAGGTGATATGTTCACATAATTTTAAATACAAAACTCGCTTTTCAAAACTCTACATACATTTTTTGTATTGGAATAATGGCAAACAAGCATATGGAGTGAACTGAAATGAATGAGTTCCCTGCTGAGGTTTTCCCTGGAGACTGGAATATGGGGTTCATCAAATTGGTTATATTAAGGCTTCTTCAGGGTCTGGAACACGCACGTGACACCCCTAGTGTTGCAGGCATTCATAGGCAACAGTGATCTTTTATCATCAAACGGGCTATATGCTTGTATACCACCTTTGAGGAATAAAAAAAAATACGGCCCATCTATAATAATAGACAATTACCATAGCCTATATACGGACACTTTAATGACCCTTATGTATACCTGTTACGCCTTTTTTGAAATATTAGGGTCTCTAAGGAAAACCTCGATAGCGAACTTCTTCCACAACCTGAGTGTTCGTGAAAGGAAATTCGCCTTGAATCGAAATATATATGTTAGAAATTTTCGATCAAGTGGATCGAAGTTACATCAAAGGTTGTTTAAATATCAAGTTAAAGAGAGAATTGTGCTTCAGAATTGACTTCAATAATTTAACTGCTATATCACCTTTCAAACCAGAAAAGAATTATACAAACACAGATATTGAAAATTAGTTAACCATACTCTTACAAATTTAACCATTTTATAGTTAAAAGTTTTGCAAATTTACATTCTATTTTAATTCTAAATAAAATTAAAATGACTTACATGTATCTTTGTTGAGAATGTTTACCCTAATGGGACCCTTAATCATGAGTAGCCATAAAATAAAGTATAGGAAAATAGTCGTATAGATATAGATAGGATACTGTTTAAGGACGATAATGAATAATAAGCCTATAATAATGTTTTCTCTCTAGATGCCTATCCGGTAGTTACGACAGAACATGCAAGGTATGGGACGTAGAGACCGGGAAAGAGATAAAAACATTGACAGGACATCAGAACGTGGTATATTCTGTGGGATTCAATTTTCCCGCCTGGTATGTAAATATTTTAAAACTGTTTTTTATTTACATTTTCTTTATCTATTAAGACTAAGGAATATTTAGGTATTACGTGGTTTTACTCACAAACATCAGTTTGAAGAGAAGATAAAAAATATACAAGACTACGATAAGATTGCATTTTAAATATATACCAATGTAAATAAAAAATAAAATTAAACTCCCATATCAGAATACCATCATATCAGAATAGAAGCAGGTCAGATGCCTTGTGTCAAGAAGACAACATTACAACTGGTTTTTTTTTTTACAACACAGGGGGCAAACGAGCATGCGGCTCACCTGATGGTAAGTGACTACCGCCGCCCATGGTCACCCACAACACCTACGGCATTGCAGGTGTGCTGCCGGCCTTTTAAAAAGGAATATGCTCTTTTCTTGAAGGTTATGTTGTCGTATCGGTTCGGAAATACTGCTGCTGGAAGTTGATTCCAAAGAGTGGTTGTACGTGAGACAAAGTGCCTTGAAAAACGCACGGTGGAGGACCGCCACTCGTCACGACTGGTGCTGCAAAATTAATTCTTTTAGGGGCCCGTTCTTGGTTACCTGAAATTAAAGTATACTAATTGAATTTATAATTCTGTGGTCCCAGCATAGAATAGCCAACCCTTCCTTTCCCATAGGTAGCGTAACATGCGACTAAGGGAACCTAATGGTCAAGGTATAGACAGCAGCATTCCTCTTCCAAAATATCACCAAAACCTAACTGCGGTTTCAATTGCCTGCCAAACGTGGAAACTATTGGCAAAGCCCTCCAATTTATGGGGTAAGCCTGTGTTCAGTAGTGGACAGAAAACGGCTAACATCATGATGATGAAGAGAATAGCACCAAGAATTATTGAGAACAGTGAATCAGTAGAACTCCAGCCATATTCAATGATATTTTCCCTTAACAGCAACCGCGTTATATCAGGCTCGTTCGATAAGTCTGCAAAAATATGGAATCCCAGCACTGGGGAATGTTTGGCGACCTTCTGGGGCCACCAGGGCGAAGTGGTAGCTGCCCAGTTCAACGGAAAAGGAGACTTGGTAGGAACCGGATCAATGGACCATACTGCTAAACTCTTCGATGCTAGGACTGGTAAGAAAATTACAACAGATATTGTCTAACAGATATTCATCTTATTTTAAATACATAATCGGGACTTAATGCGATCGAAAAGCCTTTACAGGTCACGACAGGACCACGAAAGACAAAAAGGTTTTTAAAGTCGTTTGCTTAGGTACCACTGTCCCATTCGTATTTCTACCGTGAAGCAGTTGTGTTTGCATGGCTGCGTTTCGGTTTGAAAGGTAGGATATGGCAGTGAATTTACAGGGTGGATACAGAGGAATAACAACTGAGTCCTCAGGAATGGCAACGCATGAGGGGTATCGTGGGCGGAACAGTATACTCTGTTATGTCCATGGTACTGCTCATGTTTACTGGCGACGTTTACCACTTTCTATCAGATGAACCCTCAGCTTGTTTGTCATTCTAAGTTGCAGAAAAAAAATGTCTGCTGCGCATAATTTTAATACAACTTTTAGAAGAAAAGAGTTTTCAATGTGTCTTTTTATTTATAAATGATACGCTAATACACGGCATTTTCGACAACTAACTCTGATACCTGTTTATGGTTTATAAGGAACAGGAATTAACGTGATTATTTAGGTAAACTATGATAATTTACCTGTATTGTCTCGAGGTTTCAACCAGGTTACATCGGCCGTGGTTACAAGTAGACTGATGTAACGCTGTCATGCGTCCACTGCTGAGTCAGATGTTTTTTTATCACCACGCATTGTCTCATCACCATCATCAAATATCTCGTCGTTCACCAGTGTATTTTTTAAAGTTGCTATTTTAAGGGGCAATATCCACTTATCTCTTCCTTCCTTCTCTGTATTAATACGTTATGTTATTTTTTTTTATTGGGTGATAATGGAATGGTAACCCTGCCCGCGCTATCGGTATTCTCCGGCGGGACACCAGTGAGAGATGATAGGTGAGAATAAAAAGGCAAGACAGTTAGCCCATCGTGATGAATACACTTGGAATTCAGCACGATGGTTTCCATGGGGAACACGTGGTGGTCGATCTGACAGCGTATATGCAATGGAACTGGTAGTAATCTTATCCTATCGTAAATGCTCTCCGAGTTGCTCAGAAGTTCAAAGGTCATCTAAATGTAGGACTTTTCCATACCTGGACCATCTGTTTAGCGCAAACACTTCAATACCCCGACGACGCCGTTCCATCAGAAATCCTTTTGAATATTGTAGCAGCTGTTGACAAAATCGACTTTGCGAAAGTGGATCTGTGTTTGTAAAGTTTACACGGCGAAACTAGATTATAACTCGCATTTTATTTTAAATTCACGAAGAAAGCCATATGTTTGCTTTCTAATATGATAGGAATGATGTATTTACAAATGCAAAAAACATGTTTTGTTGAAAAATTTTATCATTCGCGCGAAAGGTGAACTCTGTGATATAAATGAAATATAAATTGACCTTGTATCTATTATCAAATTAGAAAGCGAAAATAAGTCTTATATATCTAGAAAAGTAACAATCTACACATTCTGGCTATAAATTTAACCAGTATATCGTGCTGTTTAAATTAAACTAATAGAATAGACTATTGGAATATTATTAGATAAATGTGTTTAAAATGAGTATAACATTATATTATCTATGATAATGACGAGCTTCGTGGTGCTGTGGTGGGTACGTTGAGTTGTTCGATTTTTAATCGGGCCAAATTGAAAAAAGTATATTTTTTTATACAACATAGAATGGCATACAAGCTGACGGCCCACCTGATGGAAACTGTTAACCGTCGCCTATAGACATGAGCAGTACCATGAACATAACAGAGTATACTGTTACGCCCATGATACCCCCCTATGCGTTGCCATTTCTGAGGACTCAGATGTTATTCCTCTGTACCCTGTAAATTCACGCCATATTCCACCCTTCAAACCGAAACACAACTTACATACTAAGTCTCTTATAAATACAGTCAATAACGGATTTTATTTATACAAACAAAAATTATAATTCCAAAGCGAGGTAGGCGAGTTAGAGTGGGTGTGTGCACTGTGCAAGTAATATAAGTGCATGTATGAAAGAAACCATGTATAATAATGAGTGTTCATAAAGTTAGGGTAATCGATATATAAAATAATTAAAATCCATGTTGCTACAGTTCAGATATTGACAGCAATGATTAAGTAATACGATTTCATGTTAACCAATTGTAACCAAGAGGTATATATGTATGTATAATTTACTGAATAGACTCGGTTCTGATACCCTCGGATGTTGGTTGCCCGGTTTCTCCTAACACAGGGTATTCTATTTTGAGGACGAGGCCATTAATAAAACTATGTGGCACTTATTATAATAATTTTTTTCACAATTTAAAAACTACTGCATTCAGGTGCCGAAATCCACACGTACGTTGGTCACACCGCTGAAGTGATTGCTTTGCAATTTGATCCAAACGAAGGGCAGAGACTGATCACCGGATCCTTTGATGGCACTATATCCATGTGGGACACCAGAGTCAAAGAGTTAGTACCTATTTAATATCAGTAGTTAAAGAAACGTTAATTTGCTCAGAGGATTTCAACAGGCGTATTACTGTGTTACTTTATCAGTTTAATTCCTTTGTAAGATAGACCAAAGGCCGCCGTTCTTTATCTTAAATACGCCAATGGAATGGACAGATATAATCGAGTATCTTTTGTGTTTAAATATACGACTCTTTCTTCATTATTATTTAAACACTTTATGGGTTAATATTATCTTCTGACTAATCCCTGTGTCTGAGAAAGCCAGAACTATGATTTTTAATGGATGATAATGGAATCGTTACCCTTCCTGTGCGATCGATATACACTGGCGGGGCACCAGTGAAGAATGATAGGTAAGGACGAAGCAGGTCAGTTGGCCCATGGTAACAAATTCAACAATAAATCAATCACCGTGCTTTCCAGAGAGGAGGTAAACCTTATAGGTTATATTGCTAGCACCGTAAAACAATTGTGTTTGCATGGCTGTGTTTCGGTTTGAAGGGTGAGATATGGCGTGAATTTACTGGATACAGAAGAATAACACCTGAGGCTTCAGGAATGGCAACGCATGGGGGGTATCATGGGCGAAATAGTATGTTATGTTATGTCCATTGTACTGCTCATGTCTATAGGCGACGGTTACCACTTTCCATCAGGTGGGCCGTCAGCTTGTTTGTCATTTTAAATTGCATAAAAAAGAAATAGAAATGTCTTAGCTAAGTTTTTTTCGCATCCTGGGTTGGACACGGCCTACCTGAATCTTATGCTAAATTATATAACGTGGCAGCCGCGTGACGGTGCTGTCTGGTCACGAGGGCGAAATCTCGAACGTGCAGTTCAACTGGGACAGCTCGCTGGTGGGCTCCTCGTCCCTGGATGGCAGTGCCAAGCTGTGGGACGCGCGCAGCAATGCTTGCCTCGCGACCGTGGCCAGCCACAGCGATGAGGTAACTGACACCTTGAGCATACCTAATGCCACAACTGTCAATGCCTAACGTTTATTGTACAAGGGAAAGGGGGATTTAGTTATGAGAAGATTAAGTCACCCCTTCCTTTCCCGTGAGTGTCGTAAGAGGCGACTAAAGGAACTTAATATTCGAAGACTGGGTAGCAGTATTCCTCTTAAAATAATCATAACCTAACTGCGCTTGCACACCCGCCTGCCAAGCGTGGCAACAATTGGCAAAACCTCTCAATTAGGTGGGGGCTTTATTCAGCACTGGACAGGTAATGCCATATTTAAAGTTAACAGATCAGCTATTACCAAATACAGATGTATGCCACGTTTACGTAGGTGTTAGATATCTGCTTCGACTGGGCCGGTCACCGCATGGCTACCTCCTCAAGCGACTGCTCGGCGAGGGTCTACGATGTTCGCGCCGACTTCAAGGAGCTTGCCGTCATGAAGGGCCACAGAGAGGAAGTCTCCAAGGTACAAATTATACATATCTTTTAGAACAGGAGTTCCCAAACTTATTTTGTCTACTGCTCACTTTAAGAATATTTTTTAAACATTTTTCATCAACTTAAAAACCACTATTACTTCAAGATCAACAAATCACCCCCAAGGCTCTACACAACGCCCCCATTTTTTTCTGAGTCTCTTACCACCCCCCTTTAGGCTTGCAGGGGCCACAAGGGAGTGTTATCGCCCACTTTGAAAAAGGCTGTTTTAGAATAGAATAGAACAGAATAGAAGTAATTTATTATTTTTTGTAATCCTATTGCTGGCTTGGAAATGTTATCTGCGGAGAAGAACCCGCAAGAAAATTAATACTTCAATATATTCATTTATTCCAAATTTATGTTACAAAAGGAGACTTCGTACAAAAACGTCTGTTTAGTATTTCTGTCTTACTTTTTTCTGTTTTATTTGATTAGTCTTTTACATAATTTTTTGGACAGGTCTGCTTCAGTCCGGCCGGTGGATGCCTGCTGACCGCCTCTGCGGATAGGAGCGCCAGGATTTGGAATACAACGACTGGAAATTGTATTCAGGTACGAAGCATCATTGTACTAAGCAATGCATGATCAAACATATATTAGAAATATTGTACATAATTCTTTATATAAACTCATACACTTATGTAGAAAGATTGATAAATGATGCGTAAATAATTTTCCATCAAGTAGGTCGTCAGTTTGTTTGTCATAAGTACTATAAAAAATAAAATTTTCATATATATAGATACAATATACTCAAATGCATATAGAATAATGTATGAAGATACTTGAGGGATGGGCAGCAACGTCCCTCTTAAAACATCTCTAAAAGCCTAGCTGCGGTGGCAAATCCGCTTGCCAAACGTGGCAACTATTAGCAAACTCTCCTTTTGGTAAAGGCTCCATTGATTGAAATACTACCTTACGAGATGGAGTAACGAGACGTTGAAAATTTTGTAGACCATTATTTGACCTAATTTGAAGATCTAAATGTTTAGGCTGGGATTCGATCCTGGGACTGGCGTCAAGCGTTTTCTGTTCTTGTTCATGGCTATCACTTATGACTAGTCATTTTCTCCCCTTAACTCCAGGTACTCTCGGGCCACCAAGGCGAGATCTTCTCCTGCGCGTACTCGTACGCAGGAGACGCCATCATCACCGCCTCCAAGGACAACACCTGCAGAATTTGGAGATGATTGGACTGGTGGCTCTAAGAGTCACCACCAACTGCAAACAAACAATATGTTTCAGAGAATCTGATGATGCCATAATTGTGAATACAACGTGCAGTACCTCTATATTTTAGTAGTAATTATATCTTGGCGGTTAGAGATGCCAATTTAAAGTAATATAAATTTTTGTTCCACAAATAACATATTTCAATATTCACAAAATTGCTACGATATCAACGATTATCGAAGGATTAACAACGATAACGAAAAGTAGCTTTAGATTTTAAAGAAAATATCACCCAAATTGGTTTAGTATTTTAGATGTCGCATAATCTTATACATAAAAATCCTGTAACAAGGTGTTTGTGGTCGAACTCGACCGAAATGGGGCGACCGATTTTTATGGGGATTTTTTTAATATGTATATGGTATTCAGTAGGTATAACAGTAGGTCGTATCTTTATCTCTTCTCTACTCTGTATCTTTGCTTTTGCAATAACTATGAGTTTCCATTAAATATTTTAGGAAATCCCTTCTCGTGCACACATTGTGCCATATCGCGTCATTACTTAACGTTTTTAAAGGGGTCAGAAGTAAAACTCGCAGATACTATTTACAACTTTAATACTTTAACAATACGATAATCTAATACTTTGTCTACCTCGAACACAATTAAGTGCAAAACGACAATAATAATCAATAGTATTTCGACTGTCATCGAACTAATGACAGCTGTCACAGCTGTCATTTATTCAACTGTCATATTGAAATTATAGACGTTTCGGCTTTGGCTTCCTGTTCCACAGTTACATTAAGCTATTTCAGGACACTAAGACGATCCTCAAACTATTACATAAATTGTCTTACAATTAAAGTCAATAATTATCAGCGTCGACCTTCCCTTCAATTGACTGATAAAAGGACTATAATGAATCATTATCACCGATCCAATGATGACTGAATCATATCGGGCAGAGAGCCAATAAAAGGTAAGTGGTCGCTCAGAGTGCGTTAGTCCTAAAGGTTATAAACTTGTTACATTTCAAGGCCTATCTGATAAATCAGTAACTATAGGTACTTTACATTATCTATCGCTACATAATCCTTACTAATATTATAAATAAATTCAAATAATTTATTGCATGAATATGGGTACATAAATTAGTTATTGCTCATTCTACAATAACGACATGCACAATATAAAATTAATGTAAAATATAGTAATATAAAATTTTTTTTTTAACCCCTGTGTGGGTGCCGTCGCATATTTCTTGTAAAATAAAGTTTTTTCTTTCTTTCTTTCTTTCTAACTTGTCGTTTAATAATAATTTATAATAATAAAAATAATGTTAACAATAATAATAATAAGCCAATTGATAAATTATATTGTATGTCTAATATTTATCATTGTAATAGTCAAGTAACATATAGTAAATATTAGGCTGTCAAATTTTTTTTTTTTTTGCTTTTTTCTTAAATACATTTAAATTGTTTATTTCCTTAAATGCCTTCTGGAATTTACTATATCTTTTAGAAACCATGCCAAATGCTTTTATCAGATAATGCTGTGAAAACATAAAAGTAAGTTTGTTTATTATTTGATCTCATGGATGGCTAATTAATTGTCATGAGATTTGACACGTGACGTTTGAAGGGAGAAAATGTCGGTTATTTTTTTTTTCTTCTTCTTTAATTCCCGGTATCCAGGTTAAGCAAACAAAGTAGTAGGTATAAACTAGTAAAATTAAAAATAAGATATAATAATTCTGACGGACATGAGATGAACAGGACTTCATACACTTGATTTTAATAATGAGCGGGCTTAAAATTTTTACAGTCAGATTGGACATTAATAATTTATGGTCCCGCAAAAAAAACCGACTTCAATTGTGATAAAACCAGTTAATTTGATCTAAAAACTATACTACTTAACCAATTTTGATAAAATGTATATAGCACCAACCTGAAAATATATGCTTTCAGATAAAAAAAGAACTTACCAAATCGGTTTACAACTGATGAGAGTGATGAAGTAGCTGTGCTGTCCTCCTGGTATGGTTTTTTATGGGTGATAATGGAATGGTAGCCCCACCCGCGTTATCGATATACACCGGCGGGGCACCAATGACGGATGATAGGTGAGGATGAAGCAGGTCAGTTAGCCCACCATGACGAATTCAATAAGAATTGTTCACGATGGTTTCCAGGGGGAACCACGTGGAGGTCCACCTAATAGGGCAAATTGCTAACAATGGGACTGTCAAACTCCATTGCTAACAAATCCCTCCCCCCCCCCCTCCTGGCATGGTAGGTAGGCGTAGGAAATAATAAACAATAATATGTCACAATGCAACTCACACTACCACCCGCCGGGACGTCATCCAGAGGAGTGGCTGGAGCGGGAGGGCTTGCAGTCTAAACTTTAATGAGTACATCACAGTAGCGAATATTAAAAAAAAGGAATTGAAAAGCTCCTTCTTTTTAAAATCGATTGAAAATAAGTCGATTGTATCAATCAAGATCGATTTAACCATTGAATTGAAGAAATGTGTCGTCCGGTACTTATAATCTTCTGTCATTCTAGAATGACCATCTCACGCTCTTTCAATTAATTTGTTATGACTCGATCAATATTTCCATAATCATTACGACACCAATAATGTACCTATAATTATGTTAATTAAATATAAAGCATGTTAACTGTAGTGTCCGGACCGTCCGTGACGCCGTGTGAATAAAAATACAATTAAATAATCAAACAGCCTTATTATTATATATTTCTTAAAAAATGCAATTTAACTTGTTTCACAAATACACATAACATTATAATATTTAACCAACAAACCAAAATTAAATTCGTTCTACTACCATAGATTTCTTTTTTCTTTTCTGCCATAGATTCAATCTTAATTTTTTTTACCATAGATAAATTATCTACATACATACATACATATCTGTCACGCCTGTCTCCCATTACGGTGGGCAGAAACAATGGAACGCCAAATGCTTCGATTCAAACATACCTCTTTCGCTTCTTCCACATTCATCAATCTTGTCATACACGCTCGCCGGTTACGGGTACTTTTAATTTGACCCTTCTTCAGCACGTCGCCTGTTTGGTCGACATACGTCCGTCTAGTAAGGTTCCTACCGACATCTCCATTCATTCTTGCTCGATAAATCTCTTTCGTAATTCTTCTTTCATCCATCCTCTCCAAATGACCAAAACAACGAATAAATTATCTGTCTATTATAAACATCTTTTTAAATATACATCGTTAACTATATGAACAATAAAATAATTTTTGTAACTAAACATGTATTACTTTATTTAATTTACCTTGTACAGTCACAGTGTTTGTTGTTGCAGTTTACATTTTTGCAAGTGAAACTAGATTACGACATTTGATTTTGTTTATACTTAGTCAACCGTAGTTTTAGAATTTAGAACTTTATTAGACTTTGGATGCTAAACATCCTTTGGGTCAAACTATATCTAAGAAGATAGAGAAGAACCAAATAAGTAAAGATTTAAATAATATTTAAAAAAGTATACTTTATCTAGTTTTGAAAACTTAATCATTTTTGTAATTCTACCGTCAAGTTTCGAATGTAAACTATAAAAAAATAAAAAAAAAATACGTATACCTAATAATAACATATTATTAGGTATACGTATTTTTATATATATATATATATATGGCCACTTTCTATCATCGTACGGCTCGCCATTGGAAGTTCACCCTCATACCCTACAGCCTAAATGGTCGCGTAAGGCGGTTTCAGAGATGTTTTCTCCCACGAACACTCTGGTTATGAAATGCCGACGTTTTCCCAAGAGACTACAGCATGGGGTTCTTCAAAAGGGGGGTAAAGAAGTTTCTTCAGGGTCGGCAACGCGCGCGTAATACTTCTGGTATTGCAGGCGTTCATAGGCTACGGTATTATATATATATATATATATATATATATATATATATATATATATATATAAAGAGTCTATCATTGTGTTCAGCTATAATATAAGGATCAAATCAAGTTACATTATTTTACATTACATTAACCACAGGAACTTTTCAATGTTTTGTGTATGCTAGAAGAAGAAACAATTATATAATTATATAAAGAGCCAATGTACTTTTACACACGAGGTCAAACTATATTCCTTTAAAGATAACCTCGAAATTATCTCTTTAAACTTATCTCCTGTCACAATCCAAGCTAATGCGTCATCACAATGAACTGCTCTCGTTTAACACTCCAATTTATCTACTAACATCTTACAACCAGAGGGAGACTATGTACAAAAGTCGCTTGCATGGGTACCTCTGTCCCATTCGTGTTTCAACCGTGAAGCAGTTGTGTTTGCATGGCTGTGTTTCGGTATAAAGGGTGGAATATGGCGTAAATTTACTGGGTACAGAGGAATGACACCTGAGTCCTTAGGAATGGCAACGCATGGGGGGGTTTCATGGGCGAAACAGTATACTCTGTTATATCCACGGTACTGCTCCTGTCTATAGGCGACAGTTACCACTTTCCATCAGGTGGGCCGTCAGCTTGTGTGCCATTCTAAGTTGTATAAAAGATACAAAGTACAATGCAATATGCAAATAGAAAGAAATTATTGCAAAAATTTATTTTTATAAATTACTGTTTGTTATTTCTTTCAGAATAGACCACTCTCCTTTGATTTGCCGATGACATAGCAATCATGGCGGAATCCTTGGAGAATCGTTCATACATATATAGGACATAGCTCGAAAAACCGACAACCTATGGGGAAAAAGGTTCTTGCGTACCCCGGACGAGCAAATGCAGTGTAGGACGACCCCTCCCCCCCCCACACACACACACACACTATATAGAATGACAACCTCAAATGCGTTGCAGGGAGTCAGGTGGATGCAGGTGGCTCAGGACCGTTCTTTATGGCAGTCTATGGGGGTGGCTTATGTCCAGCAGTGGACGGATAATGGCTGAAACGATGATGACGATTTCTTTTAGTAACGAAATGATAACGCATAAGGGTTATTCTTACCTTAAAGATGCAACGCACACGTAAAACTCTTGGTATTACAGTCTCATTGCAGGCATCCATAGGTAAATCTAACCGTTAGTTCACTATCAGTCGATCTATATACTTATTTGCCCCCATTGTAGTATAAATAGAGAAACTATTTATAAAATAGGAGAAAATAAAAATAACATGACAGCAAATTAATAAGTGCTGTCATAGCCAATTATATTTTAACGTTAGAATTAACCGAGCTGTCCCAATAGTGTATTTTTTCTGTAAACAATGAAATCGTCACAATCGAGTACATCCTGCAGAGACAGAGGTCAAATGAACGTGATAAGCCATTGATATGCGCGCACGCAAGTGTTTATAACAAGAAAGCAACGAGCAAATGATTTGTAGACATATTGGAGTCAATACAGTTAATAATAAATAATAAACTCTTTATTGCAATAGAGAGTATCATGGGCGAAACAGTATACTCTGTTATGTCCATGGTACTGCTCATGTCTATAGGCGACGGTTAACACTTTCCATCAGGTGGGCCGTCAGCTTGTTTGCCATTCTAAGTTGTATAAAAAAAGTATATACAAGGAGTATTTATACAGAATGTGCATATAAAAGCGGCCTTGTCGCTAAAAGCAATCTCTTACAGACAACCTGACATAAATAGTAGATAAGTACAGAGAGAAAGGTAGATGGCGCTAGTCAGACACATTAAATACAAAAAAGTAACCGAACCATATGCATAATATTCTAAATATCATTTATATAAAAATAGGATTACAATACATAAATATATATATGTAGTATAAGTAATAATACAAAAATATAAATATACTAAATAGATCGAAGTAAATCACACGTAGGTAGTAAACATCAAAGCAAATTGGAGAGATAGGTAATGAGATTTTACCTGCCTCTTGAACGAGGCAAGAGATTGCGCTGATCTAATAGAAAGAGGTAAGGAGTTCCAGAGACGGTAAGCTTGGATGGAGAAAGAATAGATAGATAATAATTAAATAAACAGGTAGACAGGAAAGTAAAAGCAGGTAAAAATAAATTGGTCAAGTGCGAGTGGGATTCACACAGCAAAGGTCCCGTACGTAAAATACAATATCTAAACCAAAAACCTATTTGTTTTCTTTAAATGAAAATAGGTAAATAGATTGTAGAAAATAAATGTTATATTTTGTATAACTAACAATTGTCTTTTTTTTTAATTTATTTTATAGTATAATAGATGACTATAATGGTAGAGGAAAAGCTAAAAAGACATGGATTGTATGGAGATGATTTTTTTTTTATACTATTTAGAATGGCAAACAAGCTGACGGCCCACCTGATGGAAAGTGGTAACCGTCGCCTATAGACATGAGCAGTACCATGGAAATAACAGAGTATACTGTTTCGCCCATGATACCCCCCATGCGTTGCCATTCCTGAGGACTCAGATGTTATTCCTCAGTACCCTGTAATTTCACGCCATATCCCACCCTTCAAACCGAAACACAGTCATGCAAACACAACTGCTTCACGGTAAAAACACGAATGGGACAGAGGTACCCAAGCAATCGAGTAGTAGTAGTAGTAGCGCATACCTTGACTTATACAATTGTACCGTTACATTTATTCATAACTAGCGTCCCGCCCCGACTTCGCACGGAGACACATTACATCACATCACATTAGAAACCTCTAACATTATCAGTGTTCCTCTGCAATATTATGCATGCATTATACATATAAACCTTCCTCTCGAATCACTCTATCTATTAAAAAAAAACCGCATCAAAATCCGTTGCGTAGTTTTAAAGATCTAAGCATATATAAGGACAGATAGACGGGAAGCAACTTTGTTTTATACTATGTAGTGACGATAAAGTATACTTATTGATACTCATTCATTTAAACGCCATGGATGGTCCTGACGCTATCGATTTATTTTCTGATCGCTTTCTCATCAACTCATTGGCTTTTTTGTCGTTATGTTTAGACCCTAATTGTTCAGAGTCCCAAACCAGTTTAGCTTCATTGTTCCCAGTCAAATTACTTGTGAAGAACATTCGAGGGCGTTCATAGCAAAACATACCGAGGTGTTGTAACGTCGGAGTTATTTATCAATTTTTAATAACAGTTAAACAATTTTTAATATTTCCGCTTGATTATTTAAAAACTGCTCTATTAGTGTAATAAACGTCAACACACATAAACCATTTAAAGATAATATTCAGTCAAACTCAGAACCTACTCTTTTTTAAGTCGGTTGGATAGAACGTCACTTTTGCTCTCCATTGTACATTACATAAGTATATCACTACAGTTGCGACCACGCCAGCGGCTGTGTATATTGTGCTATCAATTGGAACCCGATACAGTGCGCGTGCGCCGGTGCAAAATGTGGAGGGCTCTCTTTTTACTGGTGGCGCTGCTGGCTACAGCCAAATCTGAATACAAATACGAGACGTTATGGTTCAAAGTCCCGCTCGATCACTTCGGATACCAGAGGAACGAGACCTTCCAAATTAAGTATTTGGTGAACGAAGATTATTGGGACAGAGGAAATGGTCCGATTTTCTTCTACACAGGGAACGAGGTAAGAACAATATATAATAGTCATTATTGCACTTAAAATAATGTATTTATAAATGTTGCGAGCAAGGGTGGACTTATCTCTGACAGAGATCTCTTCCGGTCAACCCAATACAGTGAGAAAGCATTTCGTTAGCGGGCAGCTGAAGTGCTACAACTATTAATCTCCCTCAGTTTCCATAACTAACACTATTATCCCACCACCCATTATCCCCCCCCCCCTAAAACCTTATGACGAAAGAAATGTTAAGCTCTATTTACAGGACCAATTTCGATATGAACGAAAACACGAAATTTATTCAGAAAATTCGGAATTCCATTTCATGGTAGATGCCCAGGTTATGTTCACTAACCAAGTTCAAAAATAGCTTCTCTATCTTCTCTTCTTCTCTATAGTACGTATATACAAAATTTCATAGTGACTTGTTAAGCTAGTAAAACACTAGGAAATATAAAAAAAAAATCACTTACGTTTATAATGTATAGAGTATAAATGAAAGGACGATTTTGTGGCATCATTCTCTAAAACTAACGCGGAAATTAATGTTCCAATTCGTTATTAGACCAATATGGACTAAATTTCAAATAATTTTTACTAATTTTTGTAAATATTTTGAATAAATTTATATAGAAAACTACTTTATTAGAATAAAAAGATTTCAGTGCATTATCAAAATGAAATTTTAAATTTTAGACATAGATTTGGAGAAATGACGGGTCAGAATCGATCCCATTGTCGCTGGTAGCATCCATCTGTTATTACGCTTTTTTTTTATACCACTGAGGTGGCAAACAAACATACGGCCAACCTGATAGCAAACTGTTACCGTAGCCTATGAATACCTGCAATACCAGGGGCATTACGCAACCTCTTTATCCCTTTTTTGAAGAATCCCATACTATAGTCTCTAGTAGTAAAAACCTTGACAGGGAGCTCATTCTATAACCTAAGCGTTCGTGAGAGGAAACATCTCTTAAACCGCCTTGTATGGGGGGAAAGGAATTGTTAGTAATGGAGACTAAAAATCCCATTGCTAGCAATATACCCAACCAGGTCGACCTCCTCGCAGTTCCCCCTGGAAACTATCATGGTTAATTCCTGATGAATTCATCATGATGAGCTAACTGGCCTGTTTTCATTCTCATCTATCACCCTTCACTGGTGCTCCGCCAGCGTATCCCGTTAGCGCAGGCGGGGTTACAATTCTATTTTCATCCACCAAAAAAAAAACCTCCTTGTATGCGACCATTTAGGCTCTAAAGTACAAGGGTGAACTCTCTATCGATGGCGAGTTGATATGGTATGAGATGATAGAAGGTGGTTGTAGGCATCATACTGAACATTCCGCTTACTTCTTCTAAGGCAAGCAATTTGCCTTAATACTACGATAGTTTCACTATCGTTTAAATATTTCTATAGAATGTTTGTAGGTACAATTTTCATGCGAAACCGAGTCGGATTCATTAGTAATTAATAATAACTAATATACCTATATTTATACGATTAGCAAACAACATTATCGCTAACAACACTCCAATTGAGCCTTATGTCGAGTACAATATTATGATATTTTGGTGTTGTTTTTTTAATGGATGATAATGGAATGGTAACCCCGCTGTGCTATCGGTATACACTGCCGGAGCACCAGTAAAGGATGATTAGTAAAGATGAAGAGGCAGGTCAGTTAGCCCATCGTGATGAATACACCTGGAATTCGCCATGATGGTTTTAGGGGGGACCACGTGGAGGTCGACCTGATAAGGTATACTGCTAACAATGGGACTGGTAGGACACGTTACTAACTATCCCTCCCCCCCCCCCCCACTCCCGATATTTTGGTTTAGATAACTAGCTTCCTTACTAATATTATACATATTTTAAATACACAATCAGGACTTAATGCGATGATAAAATCTTTGACCAGTAAATAGTACCTACATACTTGTTTATTTATTGCCGACATTTCGACGTGAATTGCCCCACGTCGTGGTTAAGACAGGACTGAAGTGAGCGTTGGTTTGGCAGCTCGCGCAGTCTCTCGAGTACCCTCACACTATTGTTATTATCTAGAATTCTAGAGCCAGCCTTTTTTTTATACCACTGAGGTGGCAAACAAGCATTCGGCCCACCTGATGGTAAGTGGTTACCGTAGCCTATGAACGCCTGCAATACCAGAGGTATTACGCGTGCGTTGCCGACCCTGAAGAATTCTCTTTACCCCCCTTTTGAAGAACCCTATCGCCGCTTAATTCAGTGCTGCGAATTTTGATGTACATATATCGTCATAGTCGTAGAATACTGACGGATCTGACAAAGATTACAGATCCCAGTCACGCGTAGTCGCGTATTAATATCGAAATGAGCTCCTTATCGAGATTTTCCCGAGAAACTACAGCATGGAGTTCTTCAAACTTCAAAAATGTGGTAAAGAGGTTTCCTCAGAGTCGACAACGCGCGCGTAACGCCCCTGGTATTGCAGGCGTTCATAAGCTTCGAAAACCGCTGCAACCGCATCAGTTGAGCCGAACACATGTTTGCTACCTCAGTGGTATAAAAACATATTTTTTATGCAAACAAAGCTTTGTAGCCGACGGTGATCACTTTCCATCAGGTGGGCCGTCAGCTCTAAGTTGCATTGAAAAAACACAACTGCTTTACGCAACTTTACGCACAACTGCTTTTTAGAAACACAAGTGAGCAGAGTTCTTGCATCTATATACGTGTTTTAATAATACCTAGTTTTTATCTAGGTACCTAACGATAACAGGAAAACAAACAAGGAGTAAGTAATGCGCCAGCGCCCACAGTCATTTAAAAATAGCGGTAATTGGTTCCAGGGTCAGATCGAAGTGTTCGCCAAACATACTGGCTTCATGTGGGATATCGCCCAGGAATTCAGAGCTAAATTGGTATTCGCTGAACACAGGTTGGTGTATGTTAATAAACATTATTGTTAGAAAATAAATATAGTTTTCCACAAAAAAAGGTTTTACAACAAATACCTGATCGATTTCGCCGTTTAGAGTATTTTCTTGGATTAATGTTTAGAACAGATGAACGTCTTACAGCAGAACATATGTCCCTCCTCGTTTGAAGAGCAAGCTACATGCTTGCTGTTATTATAATGTAAAAAGTCGACATGGTTTCTTTTAATGGATGAGAATAAAATGGTAATCTCATCTGCGCTATCGGTATATGCTGTCGGGGCACTAGTAAGAGATAATAGATGAGGATAAAACCAGGTCAGTCGGCTCATTGTGATGAGTTTCACAAGAAATAACCAGAATGGTTTCCAGACGAAACCGCGTGAAGATCGACCTGATAGAATTACTAGGGTCCCTGAGTTTGAGGACCCCGGAGTACGGCTTCGTCTAGCCCTCCGGTTGGTACGCCACTGGCCATATCCCAATTTACAAACTGATCACAGCCATGTGAGAATAGCTACTTCATGTAAGTTTACTAATGTACCAAGCAAACGACTTTTGCTCAAAATCTTTCTCTGCTGATTATAATATCCATTTCAGATATTACGGCGCGTCCATGCCGTTCGGGAACAAGTCATTGGACAACAAACACATCGGCTACCTGACGTCTGCGCAAGCGCTGGCCGATTACGCTGACTTGGTCAACTATTTGCAAGGCAACGCCATAAAACCACCATACCCGGTTATAGCTTTCGGAGGTGAGGATTTAACAATTTGTTTCATCATCATCACAAGCCATCTATCATATAAAAATAGGCACAATATGTAGGAACAAGGACAGTAAAGTAAAGACATTAACTGCTTTCATTAAATTTACATTATATTTCGCCAAAAAATATGTCTCATGTCACCTGTATTCAATAACGCCCTACAATCCACTACGTGGGAAGACATTACACACTATGCTTACCTGAACGGGATAGTTACTCGAGAAAAACCTTTCTTCTTTACTAGTTAACTGTGGCCAGTTTATTTTTACTTTACTTTTCAGAGCTTTAAAAATCATTCAAAATCATAATAGTTTATGCCCATGTTTTATACCCATATCCATTTAACGATTTAGGGTATTCCCGCGAGAATGACAGAAACTATGTCGATAGATTACAACGACACGACAGCCGGCTAACAATGTCCCTTATCACTTATAGTACTTGGCATATTTAATAAACTGTCTTGTGACGTCATGCTTGTAAACAGTGCTTAAATAATAATAAACAAATAGCCAGATTAAACAGGGTTTTTTATTAATTAATTATTGTTTAACTTATCTATATTTTTTAGAACTTTTTTTAGATGATAGTTTTATGATGGTATGATAAAATGGAAGGGTAATCCTGCCCTTGCTATCGATATACACTGGGAGGGTACCCAGGAGGCAAGGCGTGGCAGGAGGGTTGGTAACCACAGTTTCACTTTTGGTGATGTTTTAAGAGGGACGCTGCTCTCCATCCTTTCATCATAAGCTCCCTTAATCACTCACTTACGACACCTACGAGAAAGGAAGGGGTGGCCCATTCTATGCCGGGACCTTCACGGCTTTACAGTTTATGCCATACAAACTAATTATTATTTACTTATATTTAAAATCAATATATCTCATATACTTCCAGGCTCATACGGTGGAATGTTGGCAGCGTACTTCCGCATGAAGTACCCTCATATCGTTGCCGGTGCCATTGCAGCATCAGCGCCGGTGCACCAGTTTACAGGCATGGTTCCATGCGAGGTCTACAACAGAATCGTCACGTCCAGCTTCAAGATAGTCAGCGGAAGATGTGTGGACAATATCAAGTCGTCATGGGCCGTTTTGAGGTCTGGTGTAAGAATATTTTCAACGTCATGACGATTTTGAAGTCATCATCATTTCAGACATTCGCTATCTACTATATTCTATTTAGACGTTCCCATTTACGACCATAAGGAATGGCAACGCATGGGGGGTATCATGAGCGAAACAGTATACTCTGTTATGTCCATGGTACTGCTCATGTCTATAGGCGACGGTTACCACTTTCCAGCAGGTGGGCCGTCAGCTTGTTTGCTATTCTAAGTTGTATAAAAAAAAATAAGGAAAGGCCTCGAGCTATCTGCATCTACTAACTACATGCTCCCTCCAATAAAGAGATTATTTCCAACTAACTTTGGTTTAGCGCATTTAAAATTATTTTCCAAAGGAGAAAGATATAGCTTCTTTAAGAGGCACAGAAGGAATACTTTTATACGCGTCTTTGCTCGCATCCGAGGGTGAGCATTAGTTAATCCTGGGAAGGACCCCTCCACGCCCCTAAATATGCCTTTACTAGCTAGGCTTCACGCTACACTGTGTTCTATTAGTAAAACAAAGAATTATTTCGACAAAAAATATTGGTCCAAAACTAATATAAGATAGATAGATAATTTATTTGCATTTCTTACAGCACACAAACAACAACAGACATGGATAGACGTACACAGTAAAAAGAGATAAAAAATACATATACAAAAAAATAAAAAAATAAGAACAAAATGTATATCTAATATATAAAATTCTCGTGTCACGGTGTTTGTTACCAAACTCCTCCGAAACGGCTTTACCGATTTTTATGAAATTTTGTGTGCGTATTGGTTAGGTCTGAGAATCGGCCAACATCTATTTTTCATACCCCTCAATAATAAGCGTGACCTACCTCTAAATATATTATTTTTATTTTTTGACTATATTTTTTGTTTTTATTTTATTATGATTTAGCATTGAAAAATACATATAAATTCAAATTTTCGCGCTTTTACGATCATCCCCTGTTTTTTAATCGCAATTTTTATATGCCTCAATAGGGTTGCAAAATGACAATCGAATATAATAATTGTAGTACGATATATTTTCATGTATAGTTCTAGAAATAATGTATACGGTAAAACAACGTTTGCCGAGTCAGCTAGTATAATATAAAATTATATAAATCTTCCACACAAACTTAACTCGCCGCGTAGGACTCAATATTTTTAGTATAATTTAGTGTTTTTAGTTTAGTCAATATAGAAGTTTAGTTTTTAAAACAAAATAATTAGTTTTTCCACAAATGAAATCGGGTTTTAATGAAACACAATCATAAATTATGCCATTTATAAGTGAAATTTCCCATTAAAAGAATGCTAATGATTTCGTTCTTTAGATAGATAGATAGATAGATAATCTTTATTACCAGTAATAATATTAAAAAAATCAACAATAATAAGAAAAAAAAAACAATTTTGCTGGTAATAGAAGCCACCTCAGCTGTTGCTATATATGTGCAGCTCCAGCGTAAGGTACCTGTATAACGCTGATTTTCAGGCGGCCCCTTAACTCCTTTACCTTTAACATGTGTGCGGGTCGCCAAATCCTATTTCTCGGATGGTAGACTCAACACGCTTAACAATTTTTAGCTAATAATATTATTCTAAAAGTAAGTAGACACTGTACACAATGTGATTAAAGATTTCCACAAAAATAATCCTCGATTGCAGTAAAACCAGTTATTTTAATTTAAAATCTAAACTACGGAATCCATTTTGATAACATTTCTATGGGGCCAATCTGAATATTGTTTAAGATAGAAAAAAAATGGGTTTATAACCGACGGAATTATAAAGTAGCAGATATAAAAAAAAATACCACCACATTTAGTACGTACCCTTTTTTTGAAGTTAGTTGTTTGTAAATTTACAAAATTAATTTAAAATCTCTCTCTATATATATATATATTTTAGAAACTTCACGAAATCCTCGAACAACACAGCGTGGCTCCAAAAAACTTGGAACCTATGCGACCCGCCCAACACCACGAGCGACGTGCAAACCCTCATTGATTTCCTCCAGGATATGTACGGAACTCTTGCAATGGTCAACTACCCATTCGAGTCTGACTTTCTGATGCCATTACCAGCTCAGCCAGTGAGAGTTGTGTGTCAGTACGTCAATAAGACGTTTAAAGATGACAAGGAACTTTTAACGGTATGTATTCAGAATTATAAACCTCTACTCGTATTACGCTATTTGTTAAACATATATTTAATAATTTATTTGTTTTACTTTATGTAGGATACATTTTTTAGGACATATTTTGATCACACTACAAAAAATTTTGATACAAAAGACGGACTTAATACAATTTACCATTCTCTTCCCGCCAACTTTTGGCAAAACAGAAATGTAATTATGCGGTGAAAAAAAAAATCGTTATAAATAAATAGTTATGGACGTATCTATATTGACTCATAAATTATATAATATATACAATGGAGAATTGCTGCATTATAATCATATAAATATACTTTCATGAATACATTAAACAAATATTACTTTTTATTTATTATATATTATTTTTATTATATATACAAATATATATCATTTGCTTTACTTTTTTACCGCCTTTACTTTTCCATTATCATCCATTTAAAAAAATCTCAAAATTTTCATATTTAAATCGTTTGAAAAATATAACTTGGACACGTAACGCCATCGTCCAATAGGTCACGTAATTTATTGAGCTAAATTACCTCTCATTTAATTTACAGGGTATTGGAAAAGTGTTAGATATCTATGCGAACTACAAGAAAACAAATAAGTGCATTAACTATAAAAGTTCGTCCTATGGGAACTTGGACGCTTCCGGGTGGAACTATCAGGTATGTAATGTAATTGGTAAATGTCCGCACTGCTCTTATAAGGTTTTGACGTTGAATTGATTTTAAATTAATATAGTTGGTTAGATTTGAGCTTGGCTTATTTTAAATTATATATTTTTTTTTCTTTTAATGTATCTTTGTAATTGCCAAGTGTAATAAAAATATACTGATATAAGTTTTTTTTTTTTATATATTGCAACAGGCTTGTACAGAAATGGTGATGCCCATGTGCACAACAGGACTTGACGATATGTTCGAGAAAAGTCCATGGAACTTTACAGAATTCGCAGAGAAATGCCATAAAACATACAACGTCTATCCTATGGAGCAAGCGGCGAGAATTCAATATGGCGGCAACAGGCTGCAAGCCGCTTCGAATATTGTCTTGAGTAACGGACTGCTAGATCCCTGGGCTGGAGGTATGTAAATAATTGGTGTTAGGACAGCTTTTTTATAAATAAATGTACAACTGTCTATCCATAATGGGGAAGGGGGGGGGGGCAGGCTCCACAGCAAGACAAAATGGTGAAAATGAAATCAAATCATGTGGCCCATTTTAGCGATTTCAAGAGGCATTAACCATGATATCTATGGAATCGCGTGCTACCCCCTCCCCTTAAATTTCCTGTCAAGATTTTCCTGGAGACATAGCTAATACAGGTCGACAATGTGTGCGTAACACTCTTGATATTGCAGTTATCCTTAGGCAACAGTAACCATTTACTATTAGACAGACCATTTTGCTATCATAGTACTTAATATAAAAAAAAAACTTTTTTTTTCATCGTTTATCAATTAAAATATGGTCATTTTACATCTCAAATTATTAACTGTGCTAAATAAACCATCAATTTACTAACATTTACTAAATAGCGTAGTACCTAATACCTTTGCTCTGCTATTATTTTAGGTGGTGTTCTAAATACTGTGAGCGACACGGTAGTAGCCGTTGTGATCGTCGACGGGGCTCATCACCTTGACCTGATGCCGCAGAACCCTAATGATCCTGGAACAGTTATCGAGGCTAGAAAGATTCACAAACAGAATATTCGAAAATGGATTAACGAATATTGGAAATAAAAAAACAATGCTGTATTTTTTTTTTTATTTCCCAACATAGAAAAACCATGATAATGAAATCTTTCTTGACGTACTAAGAATTGAGCATGGCAAACAAACTGACAGGTTATGAAATACTTACCTAATAAGTTGTAGATAGCTTAAAATTATTTTAAATGTATAAAAAAATCCTTTCAAGTCCTCAACCGCTAACCCGAGGACTAAAATAAGATACTCTCACAGTTGTTTCTTAATTGATTAAATAATTTCTACCTAGATACAATAGTCACGAAAAATAAATTATTCTATCTAGAATCAAGTTCTTAGAAAATTTTAAAAAATGAAAGTTTGTTTTTAGAAAAATATCTTTGATATGGTCGAGGAATGGGCAACAGTGTCCCTCTTAAAACAACACCAAAGACGTAACTGCGGTTACTAACCAGCCTGCCAAGCATGGCAACTTCTCTGGCAAACCCCCCAATAGAGGGAGGCCTATGTTCAGCAGTGGACAGTAACGCCTGATATCATCATCATCACTTCTGTGTAACTTATCTCAAAGTAATCAACGTTCAATGAAAAAATGGTTTCTAATAAAATATTACAATAACTGACATGACTGCACGATAGTGCTTCCTAGACAGTCCAAGATAGAAATAAAAAAATTTACACGTTTGACAATTAATGTCATTAATATTGACGGAAAAAAGGCGGGAAACTCGAATAAGAACAAGCGGGTTTTTTAAATTTTTTTAATTAATTTATTAAAACTATCTCTATCAATTCTTATTATTGAATAAAATATTATATTTTCACTAAATTCAGCGACAGTAATATAATTAGCATTCATGGGGAAGCGCAGTTGTAGAAAAAGGAAAAAAAAGATGACGATTCAGGTGATGTAGACCATGAACCTTGTAATGACAAGGATATATATTCGGAAGATACTTCTACTGACTCAGAATCTGAAATTGATAAGGCCGATAAGTATAAACCTTACTACGTCACAGATTATATTAGAAGATATCCCGAGGAATCCCCTGGGACAGAATTTGTTGTCTTTGTAGAATCCTCAGATAGTCAGAAAACCATTGGATCCAGAGACTTGCTCTCACTCTCCTCCTGTTTAAAACGATTTAATAAAGGGGTAACTTATCTTAGATCTATAAATAAATTCAAAATCGGAGTATACTTTCAAAAGCCAGACTTAGCCAATGCTTTTTTAAATAATAAAACTTTTTTAAATGACTACCATTTTAAGGCCAGTATTCCTGCTTCTTCAACAGAAGTTACAGGCGTTATTAGAAATGTACCTACAAATATATCTAATAAAAAAATATATACTATGATATCGAGTTCTAAGAAAATTATTGCTATTAAAAGAATTTTAAGAAAAAATACCTTGACTCATGGATATGTGTTACAGCCAACTCTAACCGTGACAATTACTTTTGCTGCATCTGTATTACCTGAATATCTGGATATTGGAGGTTGGCGCCACAATGTCACTCCATATATACCACCAGTTAAACAATGCTACCGGTGCTTGAGGTATGGACATTTAGCTAAATTCTGTAAGAATTCTGAGCGTTGCAGCATCTGCAAAGGTGAGCATAATTATAAAACTTGTACAACTGGAATGGAAAACGCTATTTGTGTACACTGCAATGGAAATCACACAAGTGTATCACCGCAATGCCCTGTTAAACAAAAGAAAATTGCTGAAAATAGATCTAAATTCAGACCTGCTTCTTTTGGAGATATACTTAGCACTGAAATATTTCCTAAACTGGGTAACAAACCTAAAAAAAATGTAGACCTAATTTCAATTCTAAATTCTGATAACAAGAGTTTATCACTTTTAATAGAAAGCATAATCAAACTTATTTCACTACATAACACAAAGAACACATCTATTAACACTAAAAGTGTTTTGAATGTGTTATATGATACTTTTGGTAATAGACCTATTTCACAAAATTCAATCGAGACCAATTAACTATCATACAGTGGAACGCTCAGAGCCTACTGAGCAATCGACATATTTTTACACAATTTTTAAATGAACATCATATTCACATTGCTCTCATCTCAGAAACTTGGCTAAAACCACATTACAAATTAAAAATTAAAGATTATTGTATAGAACGAAATGATTGTGGTAATAACCACAATGGAGTAGCGATTATTATACATAATAGTATTAGATATAAAAAACTTCACTCTTTTTTCGACAATTCTTTGCAAACTATAGCTATTAGTATTGAAGTTAATAATTCTTGGTATTCAGTTGCCAGTATTTACTGTCCTACCAATAGTACACCTAGTTTTACTAAAGCCAAATTTAAGTTCTTTTTGGAGTCTCTTCCTAAACCCACTATCATATCTGGAGATTTAAATGCACATCATACTATGTGGGGTTGTACCTCCACTAATACAAGAGGTAAAGACATTCTTGATTGTTTAGATGAATGTAATTTGGTACTATTAAATGATAAGCAATTTACTACTGTTGGCTCTCATATTTGGAGACCCAATGGCCTTGATTTAACTATGGTATCCCCATCCATATCATTAAAATGCGAGTGGTCGGTTCATGATGATCCGTTAGGAAGTTATCACCTGCCGACTTTTACTAAAATAAACACAAAGAACTCTTCATCAACTCCGTCAGGTGAACAACATGCTCCTATAGATGAAGTTAATAAACTTTTGTTAAATCGTATAAACCTACGTCTCGTTAATTGGGATCTTTATTCTGAAACTGTTAATCAATTACTTTTGGATTTCGAGTATGATGTCAATGAACCCTTAAACAATTACAATAGATTCTGTAAAATTATTTTGACAGCTGTGGAACGTTCCGTTCCACGTAGGAACTTATCAAATAGCGGTGCAAATACTTCAAAGAGACACAAACATATTGCAGTACCTTGGTGGAATAACAGGTGTGCGACAGCTGTCAATGATAGTAAAGCGGCTTACCTTAGGTTTAAACAAAATCCAACTCTCGATAATTACATAAATTTTAAAAGAGTTCAAGCTGTTAAAAAGTTAGTAATTAAGCAAGTAAGACAACAGGGGTGGCAGGAATTTTGTTCCAAATTTAATAGATTAACACCAATTTCCACTGTTTGGCAAAATATGAGAAAACTAAATTCAAAACATCGTCAAAATCATTTTAAAGATATATCATGGGTCAATGATTTTTTACGCAAATATACTCCTGATTTTGTACACTCACCTTTTGATGACAAACAGTTTAATTCTGTTAATTCATGCCCAAAATTTCTCACTGACCCATTCTCAATTGATGAAATATCCAGTGCAGTAAAATCTAGAAAAGATACAGCTAGTGGCCTTGATCGCTTAACATACAATATGTTTCGATTGCTGAATAAAATAAACCTTACTAAACTCTTACAAATTTTTAACGATTTATGGAAGGACTGTATTATCCCACCAGAATGGAAAATGGATTGTTTGATTCCAGTAATTAAACCCGGTAAAGATCCTACAAATTTCGACTCCTATAGACCTATAACATTGACGTCCTGTGCAGGCAAATTATTCGAACAATTAATTAAACAGCGTTTAGAGTTCTTTATTGAAAGTAATAGTATATTACCATCGAATCAATTTGGTTTTCGCCGTGGATATTCAGCGCGCGAAAGTTTAGCGAACTTCTATGTCGACCTTAGTACTGCTTTGAATAACGATGAATATGTTCTATCTGTTTTTTTAGATGTCGTAGGAGCTTTTAACAATGTAAATTTAACAGTTCTATCTTCGATTTTATCCTCATTTCTTCCAATGAAACTTATCGAATGGATTTATAATTTTCTTAGTAATAGAGAAGTGTATGTTAAAGTAAATAGTAAATTAATAGGACCTAGGTTAAGCTCTAAAGGAGTATGTCAAGGTGGTATTCTAAGCCCGCTACTATATATTTTATATATCTATAAACTTAATTCAATTTTAGGAAACAGTGTGAACAACTTGCAATTTGCCGATGATTTATTAATTTATATAAAAGGAAAGAATATTATTGATATGCAATTAGTGTTAAATGAGTCATTAAAAAGACTTGAGAAATATTTTTCTCTTCTTTCCCTCGATATTAGTTTAACCAAAAGTAAAGTAGTTGTTTTTCATCAAGTTCATAAATATGTTCCATTAATGAATATTATATATAATAATCAAACTCTTCCAACAGACTGTAGCGTTAAATTTCTGGGGGTAATTTTTCATCAAAATTTAAAATGGGATCTATACGTTGATTGCTTAGTAGATCGTGCTTTAAGAGCCACTAATATAATAAGATCTGTAATTGGTCGTAACTGGGGAGCTGATCCTAAAATTATCCTTTTACTTTACAAATCTCTTGTTAGAAGTAATTTTGATTACGCTTTCTTTTGTTATGCCTCAGAACATAAATTAGTAGAAAAACTCGAAAAAATTCAAAATATGAATTTAAGACTTATTTTAGGTGCTATGTATACTTCTCCAATTATCTCAATGCAAGTAGAATGTAATTTGCCTCCTATCCTTCTTCGTTTCGAATACCTAAAACTCAAATTTCTCTTCAAAGTTTTTTCAGTTTCCAATAACCCACTCATACTCAAATTATTAAATTGCCCCATTTCTATGTTTTTGAATAAAACTATTGTCAATGATTTGAATTTACGAGATGAATATAACATCTATAGTAGTAAGATACTTCCTTGTTATAATGGCCTTTATGAGAGTAAGTTCTGTAAGATCAAAATTGTTATACGTAAAGACATAAAAGAAAAGCACGATATGTATGAGACTTTATCAGAATTTATTGACTACAGGCAGATATATACAGATGGTTCCAAAAATGCACTTAGCACTTCAGTGGCTTTTTACGATTTGTCAAATAGATTTGGTCACGGTTATAAAATTTCAACTTTGGCTAGTATTTACACAGCAGAAGCAAAAGCTATATTTTTAGCATTAGAATACATAGAAAAACAGGTACTATATTCGAAATGGATTATAATTACAGATAGTAT